TGTATCATGAAACCCATACCACCCTGACACCAGAGACATGGCAAGTCTCTTCCGGGGAAGTAATAAAATTAGTTACCCTCACTGTTAAAGAATAATCATCACATTGTATGTAGTATCTACTGCAGACGTTAATTTCCATGGAAACGTGTACTTACATAAGGCGAGTGATCTCTCAGATAAGTTTAACTAAAACATGAAAGATCACTTTGAAACAATGTTTCAGCTGGTGGTTTTACTTAATAAAACTTCTTTACAAGAGTTTTTTTTTGTAAATGGTGTGACAAAAGGTTAATTATCATGCATCAGAGGCTCACAGTTTGAGGAAAGCATTTGTGCATTATTAAAATGTGCATAGGTATAATTTTACTTTTTGCTCTTTATTAGTAAAAAGTCTCTTACCAAAAGTATATATTTTGTACATCTGTGTTTTTAAAACAGAAAAAGTTGCCATAATGATTATATTCATTCTGCTCTAACATCATGTATACTAGCAGGAACTTTAACTTCAAGTCCTTCCATAGACTCACTTAAAATAATTTGACATCCCAACCTTGACGTATCCGATAGTTCGTAGGCTAAATCTAACATATCCAACTCCTCGTCTGTTGGTTTATCCGGCAGTTGATCGTAATCCTTCTGCGTAAATATTAAATGACAGGTGGAGCAGGTGAGCGTCCCCTCACATGCACCAAATCCTTCTAAATCTACATTGTTATTAACAACTACATCTAATAATGTATCACCAACATTTGCCTTTACTTTAAGTCGTTCACCGTCGGCTTTGAGAAATGTCACCTCGATTCTGAAAGTGAAAATTAATGCAACGTTGGTGGTGGAAAAGCAGGACTTACTGTTTTTTGTTTGTGAGCGGGCTTGTTGTAGAAAATATGCGACAATTAACATTATTTGGTCTCAACATGCGTTTTGGTAAAATTGATAAATTACGCATAAAACACCTAAGTGCCATCGCTTGAGGAACATTTACGTAACGAATGCGGAAATTCGTAAGTAATAATTTTCTCCTATATCGAATTTAAGTGTGTTAAATTTCCATTTCCAACTCATTATGCAAAAAGGTTATGGAACATTTTGTGTAATAGTTCTCATTATTGTGGGAAGATGGCGACAATTTTATTCACATAAGACGACCCAATAACCGTAAGTCACATAATGAACAATAACGGGGGGTATAGCTCAGTGGTAGAGCATTCGACTGCAGATCGAGAGGTCCCCGGTTCAAACCCGGGTGCCCCCTCTATTTTTTTGTTGCAGTTTTATGGCACTTCTGTATTATTCCACAGCATAAGGGATGCCTACTTAGAGAAGGTAAGAATGCCTGTAACGTCAGTCTAAAAAATAGTGATTTGTACAACTAGAGAAGAAAGTGGAGTGTTTCAATCCGAATTCAAAGTTTGACTGATCAGTGTATCAATGAACGAGAGTTGAAAAACACTTTCTTCCTCAAGTTTTAACACATTTTTTTTCTGAACTCAATAAAATTGAATTATCGCATACGGGTATGTTTCAATTTAAATGTCATTATTAAGATTAACGGAGCAAATTGTTTTTTTACTTCCTCACTAGAGGGAAAATCAGCATTTTTTTCTTCACCTTTTTAGAAGATGAAAGTAGTTAGAAAAACCTAGCAAAATAACACAGATAGGCCATGACTTATAGATTACATTTTTTGGTTCTGGAGACAACTCCCTGGGGCAGGACAAAGATCATGTTCCTGGGATACCAAATGCAGGTTGGTGCGACTTCCTCATAGTTTTTAGTTGGTTTATTAATGAAATTAGCTGTATTTCTTAAATTCTTTATTTACAAAATATCTTAAAAATATATCAATAACTTTCTAATACGATTAAATATATTGTTAAAATTTGTGCTATACCTTAGTGGTGGTTTCAATTGAACTCTAGCAACTTTGAGCTGTTGAAATGGGTACTGAATGTAACTCGTTTTCGAATTTATAGAATTATCATCTGCCACCATCACTACAAAAATATTCTCTTACAGAATATAATAAATATCTGGGGTGTATATGTAAAATTAAAAATTATTTGTATTCGTCACCCATTTTGTTTCACAACTGTGATGTGTTGTGAAGATTTAGAAACACAAATTGATATGTATTTTTCATTATGCTAATTATTTTTAAGAGATCAAAAATTAAAAAATTTAAATTAAAACTGGAATCAAATTTACAAACACCATTGAGACTACAAACTTATTAATGAGGCCTTATTTTTCTGCAAAAAAAATTTGCACATAGAAATACTGGAAAAATTGTAAAAATAAATCTTCTATATGCTTCCTTATTAATGTAATATGTCGATTTTTCTGCTGCTAAGAAACCAGGTGTTGATTGCCACAAAAGTCAAAACAATAGTTTTTACTTGTTAACACTCAAACCACCACCCCCAATGATAGCAAAACGTCTTAAACTTGAATCTCCAGAAAAAATATAAAGCAATATAGTCCACAATCATAAATAAACTTAACTAAAAGTACATCCAATTTTAGGTATGGCTATTATTACACGGAAGAATTACAATGTAACAAAGATGATAACAAGTCCACTTAAATTTGTTTAACACTCCACTGATTTTTCTACACTACTGCACACATACAGAGGGTTTAACAAGTATGTCAAAAGAGAAAAAGGTAAATAGAGGGTATTTTTAATACATGAAGCATTTCAATTTCATTTCAACTGTTAACAACATTTGTGTTTATTTGGGAAAATCTCTACCATTCAATAAGTTTTGACATACTTATCTCACACGCCCTGTATTAAATATAAAAATAGTTGAACATTCCGAGATTTAAAAAAAAATGACTTGAGATGGATCTCATGCACCGAGACACCTGAGGGTCAATTCTTAACTTCATTTGAACCATGCACACAAGCATGTGATGTAATTATCCAAAAATATCCTAGCATTTTTACAATTTGTGTCTGTTGTAATTTTGCAAACGGTCAAGAACCCAGTGTTTATACTAATTCACTTGGTGATAACTTGTAGATTAAGTATATGAACGGTTGTTGACTTTTCTTAAACACATTATAAATCTTCTTACGAAAAAATACACGTGTGATCTTATATACAACATAGTTACAAGAAATAGTTTTGAATTTATTACACTAAAATAATTTTATGTCCTTGGAGTTTTGTGTACATTTCTTGTTTTGAAATTCAACAAACAATATGAAAGTATGTATATAAGAAAAATTTTAAAGTTATAATTGTTGCTTTTTAAAAGTTTGACAAGTGGCGGATTTAGCTTAATTGCCTAAGGACTGATTTTTCTAGACTTCGTTAAACTTATCTGAATAACCTCCTATGTGAATACATTTGCTTGCATGGAATTTTACTGTCAGAAAAGGTGAATTGAGTCTGTCAACTTCAGAAAAATAAATGGCATAATCAAAAATGATCAATTGCATCATAAAAAAAACAAAAGTGTGTTGTAACCCGAAAATAAAAACACAAAATTTGTGCTACAACTTTTTTGTTCACATAGCATAAATAACAGTCATCAACAACAAGTAATAATAATGCATGTTTGTGCAGGCATGATTTACACTAGTATATGGAAGCAAATATCAGGCATATAAAAAAACTAGAATTAAATGCCACTAACAATTACGAACAACTTTTAAACAGGCCCAATGAGTAGAAAAGAGCAGTGACAGCTCGTCAGTTCGGAAACAGGGTGGGCACAACCACAAGTCAAATCTTATCTAAGTACTAAATAACTTTGTCAAAATTTAGGATAGACAACTTTATGCTCCCTCAGGTTTAAAATAAAAGACACAAATTGGTCCATTAAACACGTATCGAATAATCCCTATTTGCTGATGATTTTGGGATTTCAGCAAGTGGAAGGCTATAGGTACCTATTCATTTTTCCCCAAGAAATTAAGCTCAAAAAACGAACATTTTTCCCACCGGAAGAAATTAAGTTCTGTGGCTAGAAGCATAAATCCGCCACTTAGATGTACAATGTAAATATGTCAATATTTAAGCATAATGGTAAAATTGTACACATCTGTCTGTCTTGAACTCATTCATTAAATGAAAATTGTCATTTATACTAACGTACTAAACTTAATTAAAACATTGCCAAAAAACACACAACATAAATGCGAAATTAAAAATAAATCAGTAAACTTTTGGAACTAAAGAATACTTCACACGTTGACAATATCTCTTCCACGCACTGCCATATCTCTGCTCACATTTCAACTCGGTTCGACTTATACGATTGATGATCCAAAGAATGTCAAAAATGAATACCAGTACAGGTACTGCATTGTAGACCAATAAACCAAACGACATTTGTATGATAATATCACCTAAATAATTAGGGTGTCGCACCATACCCCAATAACCAGAAACCAAAAGTTTTCGTCCTTGTGAGCTCGGTAAAGATTCCAAATCTAAAAACAGATATTTAGAACCAATGGATCATTATTTTATTTTATTTTAAAGGGTGATTGCTTATTTGGCAAAGGGTACTAAATATAAATAGATTCAATGCAATGTAAATATACTTTTAGAGGATCTCTATGTATCATTATTAAATGGATCACGTCCAAGTATTAGAAAAATGTAGGTCTAAATTTCTAGAAAAACGATACCACTGTTTAGCATCACCTACCAAGTTGGGTACGTTGACATTTCACTATGATGAAGGTATTTAATTTTTCGTTTTTGTGTTTCATTTATTATACATTTTGAGTGTATGTTCATATTTAATCCACGTATTACAAAAAATGTACCAAATTTTTAAACTTTAAGTGGCACATAGGTGGTAATTAGCTCCCTAAGTTTCTTCATGTAAAAATCAGTTTCCCTATTTCTCACTATTCTATCTTTTATCTATGTTTAAGTCAATATCGCCTGTAGCAATCTACAATATAAAAAGCAAACAAATAAATTGTATAAGCATTGATTCTGTATATATCTAGTTCTCTCTTTCTTAATGACTGCTGTCATGCTTTACATAACTTACGTGATACTTTTGGATGATAGGGATTGAGTCGAAATTGATGCTTTTGCGTATTACTCCCATGATAAAAAACAGATCCAATCATAAAAAGAACTCCGGCAAAAATTAACTGCCACCTGGGCAATGTCACACCATAATCAAGGATGTATTTACTTGATCCAATTTCGACTATGGGGCCAAGTAACAGGCTAACTATGCATTCATATCCAACAGCTTCATATTGGGCAGTGAATGTTGTAACAAAACTCGATTCATAAACGATACACCAGGTGTGGTGTATAATTTGCATTGCTGCGAATACGGCCAGAGTTTCATTGTATTTAATCGATTTGTAATCAATATCTCCGTCAGTGAGTACTTTGAAACTAACGCTTTTATAAAATAGAACCGCATTCATGATTATCTGAAAAAGCAACCACAGATAAGTATTTCATTTTCACCCTGCTACTTACGGTGGAAATGCAAAAGAAACGAAAGAGGAATAGTTTAAAGTCGACAACTCCAAACACTCTGGGATTGATGTCTCGTCCATGATAAAAGTTGTAAATTGCATTGTTTATCAGCACATCAGACTTGAGGTTACATAAGGGCACATAAAAACTTCCAATATATAACGCTACAGATAAAATAACACCAAGTACAGTTAACGTTACATAGTGTTGAAAGAAGTTTTGTAAAACATTTTCAATAACTAAAACACCAGTAAAGGTCTCCAACAATATTAGCACAATCCCAACAAGAACAAGAGTAAAAAACCCATTCATTACATAATTCAATTTGCTACCCCTATTAGGCAGTCCGCTAACTTTCGGTCCACCAAACGGAAGCGCACCAATGACAAATACAAGCAAAATGTAACATAGCGATATTGCGAATGATTTCAAACCAAAATACGTAGAGATGCGTGAATAATTAAATTTTGGAGACGCGGTGAAGTTGCACTGTTTCTCATTACAATATACCAAAAATATTAGAGGTATCAAAGGTAAACAAAGTACAAATAAAAAAGCATTGAACAGCCCAAATTCGTTTGGTGTAATTTTATCAATAAGCTTGGGTTCACTTTTGCGAACAGACTTTTCTCTAAAGTCCCCAGTTTGGATATCATCTTCGTCTGAAAGTTCAGTCAGTTTTCGTATGGACGATGTAGAAGACTCTCGTTTCAGGTGATCAATATGATCTATCTCATGTCTAAACGATTTTGTAGCTGAGCGTCTCATTAAGTTTATGTAACTACCAATTTCGGGCGTTGCCTCTCTCAATTTTGGGATAATATTCTGTAAAACAACCTACTAAATGTAACATACATGCAAAACCATGTCTGTAGCATTGCTTAAATACCTTGTAGTTGAATTGACCAGATGCAAAATACTTTTTTTTTTAGAAATTTAATAATGCGTGTTTGGGCTTTGGTTTCACGTGTGGTTTGCAGTCTTAAACGTATAAATTTCAAATACTCTCAAAAATGTGATGTAACGAATCAAATGTTTAACTTTCTCAGCAAGTATATCACATAAAGGCGCCAAAAAATAGTAGTGACACCTCTAAAAAGTATGCCAAAAATTTTAATTTCGAGGAAATATGCAATTCCTATCTCGGTACACAAAATATTACAAACATACAATAGATGGAGCTACTTGTTTCATTCAAATAAAATTGTTCAACCATAAAGTATTTAAACAACGCCCGTTAATAATCAACCTGTGATTCCTTTACTTCGGTGTTTATTTTTTTCGGTCGTCCCCTCGTTTTGGGTGAAGCTCTGACCGCCAATGGTAGTTCATCATCCGTTTCCGATTCAATTTCCTGACGCGATTTGCTACCTAAAATGTTGATAATACTATGTGGCTGTAAAATATAGACGAAAATTACTTGCACGTGTTATTCGGTCAGGTACATTACTTTTGTTTGTGTCAATTCGACTAGGAGTAGTTCGCGCGGGACTTCGTCTCGAAGGACTTTTTTTTGGTGTAGAGGTAGTGGTACGTGAAGGGCTCTGACGTATTGACCGTCTCGGTCTCGGACTTGCCGGAGGTGAATTTGTCGTCAAGCGTGAGGGGCTCTTGGATTTGACTGCCCTTGAGGGTGATTTTCTGTAACTCTTTACAGGACTTCTCTGTGGAGACTTTTCCTGTTTTGTTCCTTTGGAAACCATCTGAGAAAAAAATTTAAAGGGGCATTTAAAAGTTGTTTATATTGGAAGTTATTTGAAAACAGGGGTCAATGTATTGATACCACACGCAAGCGTGCTAAGTGCGCGCCAAAATGGTAAGAACCAGCTTTGCGGGAAAAATATACAAACTGTTTGCAAATAACGATAAAATTTAACATAAATAAACATTCTTACCTTCAAAATTACGTATGAAATTAACAAAATGTGACAAACCACAAAGCAACTGACGCTACAAACGACGCTTAAAAGACCACGCCAACTTGTTTATATTTAGTAGCTCGGGATTGGTGGATTTTAATAATTATACGTTACTAAAAAATTTTAAGCTTTTTTTTGTAAAAATAAAAGTACACTTTTCTTGAATTGCAAATTGCGATAACGAGTAATTATACTTTTCTCCTTTTGTAAACAAAAAATCCCTCGAATTTGTAAGGGTTATGTGCCCTTGTGCAAAGGTTTTATGACAACAAAGCATTGGCGTATGTTATGTTGTGTTCAGACTCAGTGGCGTACTTAGTTAAAACGACTGAAATAAGGGAGCCTATAGAGAGAGTACCCTTTCCTTTCTTTAGGCGCTTTCTTTCGGTGATCCAAACGCGTTTGGATTGTCAAATCACGTTCTTTCGAAGTGTGATCTTATAATCATGATTGCTAAAATCGTGAACAAACTGAACATAAAAGTATTTTGACACAAATTCCTAACCTACAAATGCAAGGATATTTTTGCTCAAATGTTAGGTTAGTCAATATTTGTATAGCATAATCGTGCACGTGCTTCCACTTGTATTTAAATTATTTTCATAATCCAAACAAAAAATACGTAATTCGAATGCAAATGTGCGCTACGTAAACTTAACCAAACTTTGATTCAAATTCGGGCGTTCTTTCGTAAAACGTGATCCTACGAATCACGATCTCGAAATCATGATTGCGAAGTAGCCGAAAGAAAGCGCCTCAAATATAATCAACGCCAAGGCCAACTATAATAAATGCGACATACCTCGTCCTAGTTAGTAGTTATTGTATTTTTGTAGGTTTATGCCCCGTTCCACCAAGAACGTAATTACCTACGTTTCGGCAAAATCGCTTAGTGGTCCTTCACATTAGGCGACTTCGCAGTGCTGCTGAGCTGAGCAGCGCGGCGGGACGGAGTGCAGCCAGGGCCGTAGAGAGAAATTTGGGGCCCGGGGGGTTGTTAAGCACGGGCTTAAACTTACCTATTCCACATTACTTTATTCTAGGACTCATAATATGAAATATTTTATTTTAGTGAAATTGGTATGCTTTATGGATGTAAAAATTTTATTCCCAAAAAACCATGCAATGGGCCCCTTTTCAAAATCCGGGCCCAGGGGGAATCCCCCCGTTTACCCCCCCTTCTCGTCAGGCCTGAGTGCAGCGCTGCTGAGGGACGCGGTCGCCTTATATGAAAGGTTTCGACGCCAACGGCGCTGCTCGTAGTTATCATCACTCATTCTTTTTTTAAGGCTGAAAGTACTCAATGGTACAGCATTGTGAATAAAAAAAAAAAGATCTAAGGTTATACTTGAGCCACAGACATTAGTGGTTATGGTGTCGTCATTTTCATCAGTTCTTTAATCTAACCTTTAAAACTCCTCATATTACCTTATAACACAGAACAGTAATATTCTGTGCCTTATAAACAGGTAAGGAAAGTTCATAGCTTTGATAGAACTTTATAAATCAAAGTTTCTTAGTCTGATTTTAAATGTTTACTACACAAGAAGAAATTAATAAAAAAACAGGTCCTAACGGAGTTGGACGATACGATTTTTTAAATTTGCTAGTACAAGAATTTTACAAAACTAATTCATTGGGTAAAATTGCGAGTGACACTATTGGTCTTATATGGTACATTTTCAGATGCCAAGCGGCAGGTGTTGGCGAATTTAGCAAACTTCTCTTACGATCCAATTAACTATGAACTTATAAAACAGTTACGTATCGTGGACTTATTTTTAAAGCAACTTCTACACCACGAAGAGGACTTTGTACATTTTAGTATTAGTGGCCTCTGTAATTTAAGTGTAGATCCTAGTATAGCGGATCTCATTGTCAAGCAGAATGGTGTATTTTTAATTTCGAACTTATTAATGCACAGAAATGTCGAGATATCACTGAATTCGTTAGCAACGCTAATTTATTTGATTAACCAAGACACTCAAGCTTCAATTACAACAGCAGAGATTATAAACAAAGTACTGCACTACAGTTCGAGCACAGATACGAGACTTAGCAACCTCGGTAATATATTTTTACAAGACTTTTGTACGAGCGCACAGATTAGCCATGTTAAAAGCTCAAACAGCCTGGACGTCAATGATATACCTTTACCCTTTACGTAAATTCGCAATGATAGTAGGCGATAAGTGTATAGTAACCAAGCAGATAACCAATGCGGACATCAAACGGTTTATAGAAATTAGCGGAGATTCAAATCCAATCCATCGTCAAGGAGAAAATAGTATCGTGCATGGGGCATATCTTAATGCATTAGTGTCAAGTGTAATTGGAACAAAGTTACCTGGACCTGGTTCATTACTTATTTCACAAACCTCTACCTTTCCAAAGAAGTGTTTTAGTGGTGAAGTTATAAACATAACGGTCGAGGTTTTAGAGCTGCGCAAAATTATAACAGTAGGATATTCATGTAAAGTGGAGGATTTAAATAAAGTGGTTTTACATGGCACTGCTAAACTGATGTTAAATAAATAATGCTAGGAATTGCAATTTTTAAATTATTTATTATTTTCACAGGTGGTCTGTACTGGAACGCTCTAGTTTTAGTCTCACTCCCTTAGGACGTCAATATCTTTGAAAAAATCTAGAATCCCTGGTGCATCTTCATTCCTCCAAGCAACCTGTGCTGTGACCTGTTATATGACTCCCAATGACATACATAATATATGCTGACGATTGTTTTTTCTATCCTAGCACCATCTACAAGGTGGGCCACTAATGGAAATTGATTGTCTCTTCTTCAACACCTCACCTTCACAAAACGTCAAACGTGAATAAAATGGATATGGTAAAAATGTAGACACTATATCCACCACAAATTTTAATAATAATAATGTATTTATTTTCACATCATGACAACTTTTTAGCGCATTTCCACAAAAATTAAAAAAAAATGCGCTATTGTGGCCACTTTGTCCGTCCGTCCGTCCGCTCGTTTTGCGACGCTACTAGTTCTTTATCTTAAGAGCTATTGTTCTACTTTTTTCGATATTTGGTTCGTTATGGTGTCGAGTCTTGTACCAAGGAAGGAATTTTTTCTGTACCGCTTACAAAAAAAGTTATTGTAAAAAAAACAAAAAACCGTTTTTTTACATTTTCCATAATTTTACACTTTTGCCGTTTATTAACGATCCTAGAGATCGTTTATAATTTTGCATTGCTATCTGTCGCCTGCCGGTTGGTCTCTCCGTCTGTTCCTTTGTCTGTCTATCCATCTATCTGTCCGTGTGAACCATAACTTTGTTTAGAAATGTTCGATCGCTTTTACGTTAGTTATGAACTGAATTGCATGAAATTCAATATGGGCATAGATTTAGCCATATAATACGCAATGCCAAAAGTTGAATCGAATCGATTCAAAATTCAGAGTGCCCTTTTCGCATCTCGACCATTTGTAAACCGAATTGCAAACTTTTTTACTTATAAAAGTATTTGAATGAAATTTGATACATAGGCACTTGGAATAAAGGAAAATCAAACGCCAATTTCAAATTTTGGTTTTGCGCATGCGCAGTGCCAACTTTTTTATTTATGGAAGAATTTAAACGAAATTTGATACATAGGCACTTGGGATAAAGGAAAATCAAAAGCCAATTTCAAAATTTGGTTTTGCGCATGCGCAGTGCCAACTTTTTTATTTATGGAAGAATTTAAACGAAATTTGATACATAGGCACTTGGGATAAAGGAAAATCAAACGCCAATTTCAAAATTTGGTTTTGCGCATGCGCAGTGCCAACTTTTTTATTTATGGAAGAATTTAAACGAAATTTGATACATAGGCACTTGGGATAAAGGAAAATCAAACGCCAATTTCAAAATTTGGTTTTGCGCATGCGCAGTGCCAAGTTTTTTTATTTATGGAAGAATTTAAACGAAATTTGATACATAGGCACTTGGGATAAAGGAAAATCAAACGCCAATTTCAAAATTTGGTTTTGCGCATGCGCTGTGCCAACTTTTTTATTTATGGAAGAATTTAAGTGAAATTTGATACTTAGGCGCTTGGAACAAAGGAAAATCTAACATTAGTTTAAAATTTAGGTTTGCGCATGCGCAGTTCCAACTTTCTTATTTAGAAAAGCATTGAAATGAAATTGTTCTTATAAACTGAAATTGAAGTAGCACGTCAACAATGGATTGCCCATGTGCAACGCTATCTTTTATATTTGTGGCCGGATTTTTACGATTTTAACAGAAGTTGCATCTTACAAATGGGAAATGAATGCAAGTGGAAATGCGCTTTATGTAAATCGTTTACGATTACTTTTTAACTTGTTTTCTTATAGAATGTGGCCTGTAGAATCCATAATTTCAAACAGTTCCAAGATTGGGTACTAGTTCAAAAGTTACAGCCCTTGAATTTTTTTTCGAAATTGGTTTCTAGTCTATAACTTTTGATTGAGAAGTCTGATCGAAAAAGTACGAATTGTTTTGGATTCTACGCACCAAAATTAATAAGAAAAAGTGTTTTCCCGAAAAATTTTGGTGCAGTCGATTTTTGGTAAAAAAGGAAGGTTATACACTGCCTTTTTTTGCCCCGAAAAAAAAATTCTCAGATCGACCCGGAAAAAAAATTTTCTTATAGAATGTGGCCTGTAGAATCCATAATTTCAAACAGTTCCAAGATTGGGCTACTAGTTCAAAAGTTACAGCCCTTTGAATTTTCTTTCGAAATTGGTTTCTAGTCTATAACTTTTGATTGAGAAGTCTGATCGAAAAAGTACGAATTGTTTTCGATTCTACGCACCAAAATTAATAAGAAAAAGTGTTTTTCCGAGAAATTTTGGTACAGTCAATTTTTGGAAAAAAGGAAGGTTATACACTGCCTTTTTTTTCCCCTGAAAAAATATTGTCTCAGATCGACCCGGAAAAAAAGTGTTTTCCCGAGAAATTTTGGTGCAGTCGATTTTTGTACCATGTAACAAAGTCTAAGAGTACCTAAGTAAGTAAGGCGACCAAAGTACATATATACCTGTAAGCTGTATGGTGAAAATCACAGGGGATAATTGGTTCAGTTGTTGCAAATAAATACAAGTTCTGATCTACCACTAATTTTCTGAATACTGTTCATCGTGCAAAACTGAACATATAAACAATGCTTATTAAATTATGGTGTCAAATGATAGTTGGATGAAGAATGTAGGTATAGGTAAGGTCATCGTAGACCAGTCTATAATCGTAGACCAGTCTATAACCAAAGAGAGAGCATTGAATTTATAACGAGAGAGTACCCAAATAACAGATGCAACACAATGTGTAAGGTGTGTTGCCTAACCAAAAAGTTCTTTAAGAAAGAAACAAAAGAAAAATGGTGTGTGGTAGCAATGGTGGTAGGTATTTTGTACAACATACCTCAGCACAATGCAAACGTCATAAATAATTAGTAAAAGTATAAATAGTTAGTTCTGGGTACCTCTTCGCGAGGGCCCGCTGTTGGAATCCTAGCAGGCGAGTTCTTACAGCCTACACTCGTTTGTACCATACCGCTGTTGCTCTAATCTAAGAGGAAAAATTAAGAGGTTGACAGAAGCTTGCATTAAAGGGCACGCGACGGAAATGTGTAAAAAGGAGGTTATAAGAGTGGGGGGAAACGTGCCACCATTGGCAGTGTGATAAAACAAAACTAAGATCTCTCTTCTGGTTTATCATAACTCAAATCAACATAGCTGACTAGTGCAAAGGAGGTAGTATGATGACGACTTCCATCATGTAAAGGCCACCACCCTTAATAAATAAGCATTTTTTTAATTAAAATGTGTATTTTATAAACAACATTCAGCTTCAAATTTTAGTCCAAATAGATGCGTGTTTCTGATCTTTAACACTGACACCTATTTTATGCAGATCGTTACGAAGTCCATCACATAAACTAATTAAATTCGAATTTTTAATTTCGAGACCTGTTAATCTTACATTATGCCTAAATTCCGTTAACATGTTTAAAAGTTCAACATCATTACTCTTTTGATTCACATCTTGGGTTGTACTCAAATTAAATCCAAACATCTCCAGGGTATTTGTTACAAAGTTACATGCACTAACGAGTGGGGTAATTTCTTGTAAATTGCCCATTTGTGATGTGTTATGGAGCATTTTATTAATATTCACAATTAAATTATTAATAATTTTAATACATTCTGCTGTATCAAAATCATCTTTAAGTGCACTACACATCTTTTCCACGCTTTCTTGCACGCACTGAAGTATCAAGGCTGCTTCAACATGAGGCTTCTCTGGATTGCTAATAATCACGTTACAATTGATTAAAAAGTTTTTGTACGTCTCCAGATGAGCTTTCGCGGCACGCATATATTCCTCACTAAACTCCATGTGTTTACGATAATGTGACATTAGGCACATCATCCTAAAAACATCTCCACTGCAAATTTGAAGCATTTCGCTAATGGTCATGGTGTTTTGTAGCGATTTCGACATCTTGACTGAATTTTGCATTAGATGCCCAGTATGCAGCCAATAATTCACCCACTGCTGTTTTGAAAAGTAAGCGCAGCATTGCGCCTCTTCGTTCTCGTGATGAGGAAACTTCAAATCAATACCACCTGCGTGAATATCGATTTCGGAACCTGAAAGTTAGATGACTACTGAATGAATGTAAAGCTGTAATTTGTTACATGTATCAATTTTTCGTCAAATTTAAGGCCAGTATCTTTGTCTAAGACAAATCAGGTGTTTTTTGAGGCTGTATTGCTAGTAAAGTCTTGGAGAAAGGCTTCTGAAAACTCTTGAGGATTGTAGGGGGCTTTTGTAAATTTTTTTAAATAACTAAAGACCTCTAGAAATCGTTCAAAATCTTCAGAAGGCTCTTGTTAAGTTCCCATACACCTCTACATTTAAAAAAAAAATGGAACTGTGAGAAAACTCCCATCAAACTAGAAAATTTACTTGTCCTTTTCCAAAAAGCCCTCTTGTGGGAAAACATAATGGGCGGGGGGTACATCATTGGCCATGTTCAATTTTTACCCCTCAACTTTTTCTGTACGCCATTGGTAGGTTGTGAAATAAGAATTCAATTTTCTGATGTATTTAGAAACTTTTTGATTTCTTGTAATTTTTTCGTACCTGTGACAGTGATAGAAAAAAAAATGAATTTTCCGTACTTAGCTTCATGAAAGTATAATATTTAAAATGGTCCAGTAGGCCCTGACTTTATTTGAATATCTTGTTTTTATTAGTTTTGGCATTGAAAATTGTATCCTGTATTTGCATATGTTTATACATAACAGGTTTAAATTGTATATAGTGTATGGTGGAACTACAACACCCTGTAGATCGGTAATGAATCGTTTGTGGACCTATGAACTTATAAAATGAGCCAAAGACTTTAGCTCCTTTCCGTATTTACATTATATTTAGGGACACCTTGTATATAACAATTGAAGATAAATTTAAAGAGACCAATTTTGACGATTCTTGAAGTTGACACATGGTAAAAATTAAAGAAAAAATCGATACATATAATTTAAGCTTAAAAATTTTACCAAAAATCGAGCTGGCTATCGCCGAGCATTCCGTGTGCCATCCAGGTCGTCCAGATCCACATTGTGTAGTCCAAAATGGTTCCTTTTTCGCCGCCTTCCACACAGTAAAATTGGCCAACTGCTCCGAATTTACGTTCTGTAGTCTCCCATAATTTTTAATTTGAAATAGTAACGATTCGTCACTGCCCTTGTAAACATCCCCGCTATTCAGTAATCTCATAATGAATTTTTCGATAAGCGAAATATTTTCACTTACACGCATAACAAGCTGAGGTCTGAGAACGTTTAATTTCCGCATGTCCTCCCAAAATTCGTCTTCGTAAAATTTCACAAGATCGCTAATAGGTGTTTTAGTTGCAATCGATCTGTTGATAATCTTATCGTCAATATCGGTAATATTCATTGCGGTGATCAAGTTTAATGAAAATTCGCGTTGTAATATGCGTTTAATTATGTCAAGCTTTACGAAACAACTAGCATGGCCTATGTGAGCCGAGTTGTAAACCGTCGGGCCGCATGTGTACCATGTAACGAAATTCTTGTTGCGGACGATGAAAGGAACATTTCCCCTTGCTACGCAATTGTACACTTTTATGCCAGTGTCAAAACCAACAGGTTGAATCCATTCATGTTGAGACCTGGTACTTAAATAGAGCTGTTGTGGTGCTCCTCTAAATTTTAATAACTTCATTTGGGGCTTTGTGTTCTTAACCTAAAAATTCAACTTTTGCTGTGGAAGAACCCCAAAGGCTTAAATTGTGAACAACACAAAAACACAGCAAATTAAAATGACAAAAATATAACTTATAACCTCAAAATGAGCATCCAAAGGCAAGACAAGAAAGAACAAGACGTTTGCTTACAAGTTAGGGAAGATTTACGCAAATGCCTCCTAAATAGCAACTGTGTAAAACTGGTAAATTGCCTCTCTTTGTAAATCTTTATTCTACTTGTTTTACTGCAGCATAAGAAGAAACTCCAGCATTGCTTGTCGGTATCGGATGGTTCTGTTCCCGAAGAATGCCAGTTGCTTCGTAATAGATACTTTCTGTGTAAAAATACTGCGGTAAGAACGTAGTTGTACTTGTACTGTTCTAACATCATTTTGAATTGTTTATAGTACCGAGGCAGACAAACCTAAAAGTACTGAAGCAAGTAAACTGGATGCATAGTGTTAATTAGAAGTTCCCATAATATATTTTGTGCAGTAGCTAATAATAAAAATTGCATAGCACTAATTTTTGATAGTTATTTACAGAAGTCTGGGAAATGACATTACTAGCGAGGAAGGGACCAAGTACTTTAATTTCTGAGTTAAGTAATGTTATTTTACTGATGAGTTTTGTGTTAAATTTTAATTGTAGTTTAATATAAAATTTCAATTTTCATTATAGAACATCATCGATTAATGTCAATCTGTCAGTTGACAGGAGTCATGACAGACATTTAGCAATGTGACAGGTGCGGCAGAGCAGTATAAAGATTTGAACGGCATTTTACCCCCTTCCACACGCCAACTACCTTGTCACATCAGTAAACAGCAAATCGCAGTAAAATTAATGAAAATTTTAGAAATACATAGTAAATGTAGTGAATTTATGACCGCACCCTGTATATACAAAATTTGCTTGTGTGTAGCCATTGTTTTTCCACCCCCTCCCCCTTGAACAACCTACGTTGTTTTTTTTGCAATTTTCAATTAATTAATTTCCTACAACGACAGGTTTATACAATTTTAATATTGTACAGAAAGTTTAATTGTAACAGCGAAAAAAGTGAGTTTTAAAATGCAGCAAAGTATTGAACTGGCATTAGCGCATGACTGCACGAAGTTACAAGCAAATACAAAACATGGCGGCTGATAGAAGTCAAAACAACGATAATAAGATTTTTCCCGCTTAAATGGAGCAGAAGACGTTATTTTTTAATGGTTAGAAAGTTTTTGCTGTAAAGAAATGGAGAAATTAGATCAGTTTTTAAGAGTGGGCGTCGCAGGAGAAGGCACCTACGGCATAGTGTACAAAGCTAAAGATAAAATTAGTGGAAAACTAGTCGCTTTAAAGAAAATTAAACTGGAAAAGTAAGTAAGGGCGATAACTGCGAAACGCTTGCTTAGATGCATGATTATAAAGCTTGTTAAAAATGTGCCTAATGTAATAATTCAACGACCAAATTACGGGACCTCGCCACGAATGGATTAACACGACTAACTGAGTTGTCAGATAAGCAGGATTATGTGCGTCTTATGTCGTTTTGAAACGTAGCACCACATGATTCAGCTTATTTTGCTTCTCTACGCAACTAATTCTTTTAATACTGCATTTCTTCGCTCACCGTGGAACTTGATGGATGCAACACGTCAAACTTATTAATGAGCACTTTTTAAGGTTTTCAAATGGCGAATACGAGGGCATTCCATCTACCGCACTGCGAGAGGTCAGTCTGTTAAAGGGATTGCGACATGCCAATATAGTCGAATTGATAGATGTCATTTGTCAACTGCCTCACCTGTTCTTAGTATTCGACTATCTTGAAGTAGACTTGAAACGGTATCTTGACAGCATTGAAAATGATATGAGCCTAGAACTAGTGAAGGTAGTATCGGTACATTACAATGAAATACATGGCTACTTGTTACTTTAGAGTTTTATGAAGCAATTATTGTCCGGTATAGCCTACTTGCATATGCATAGAATTTTACATCGGGATATAAAGCCGCAAAATATTTTACTGGATAAGGAAGGGCACTTGAAAGTGGCAGATTTCGGTCTTTCCAGGTCTTTTGCTTTACCGACCAAAAATTATACACACGAAGTTATTACCCTTTGGTATAGAGCACCGGAGCTCTTACTTGGTGCACGAATCTATTGCACTTCGGTTGATATGTGGAGCATTGGATGTATTTTAGCGGAATTGGTAAATTTTGTCAATGTCCAACTTTGTGGTTTAAATGATTTTGTAGATTACTAAACAGCCATTATTTGCTGGCGATTCCGAAATCGATCAGGTTTTCAAAGTATTCAAATTACTGGGCACGCCCAACAATGACGTTTGGCCCGGCGTGACTCGTTTACCCGATTTTCAAGCCAGTTTTCCACAGTGGGACATCAAACCGCCGTCACAGCATGCACCTTTTAGTAGTAAACCTTCGGCTACCACAGATGTGAAAGATATGTTAGATGTAAGGTATACCATTTTGTGCCTATTAATTTATATATTTTAATATTTTAGAAATTATTGGTTTATAATCCAACTGACCGACTAACAGCAGAAGAAGCTTTGAGTAGAGAATTTTTTACTGATGCAAGATTAACTTGTCCAGAAAGTGGATGTTTTACAAAACCAGAAAGGTTAACCTGATATTTTAATTCCGTATTATATTTAGATAAACATATTGTATTTGATATAAAATTTTTATTCAAATAAATAAAAACAAATTTTAATAAGTTATTCCTATGGTACAGTTAGCTTAATTTTTCACACATCTTTCAGTGCTTCAGGCTATAATCCTTCAGAAAAGGCAAGTCGACTTCCTATGAATTATATACAACTATTCATCCCCTTAATCCCGAGTCGTAGTACAGGAACTGACCACAGTAAACCTTAGCACCTTGCTGACCATTGTGAAAGATTACAGATCCTCAATATAATTAAGGTAATTAAAATTAGCTTTAGCAGAGCAGTTTCTTGCTTTTTAGGTGTTACTGTCCTCTTCATATCTTTATTTCGTTATTCACCTGTGCAAACAAGTTATATGTTTTAAAATTTCATCACGTTCACACCTTATTTTCTTATTCACTGGAATTGCTATCTTCAGATGTCTCATTGCAACTATATTCTTCATCTGATAAATTTATGTTAACAATAGCATTTTTCAAATTGCTTTCAGTCCTTTGCGCATCCTTAATTCGCGAAAATACATGAGCACATAATTCTTCTTTAAAATCGTTAAGTAACTTTAACCTTTGCATGGGTGTACAATGATGCTCATCTTCCTTCTGCATTTCTACCTCGGTCATGTTCTCAATTTCGGCTTTTTCGAAGTTTACGCAATCGTTGAGGACAATTAATTTCATCAGCGGTGACAAATTGGCGAAATTTTGAAAACTAAAAAGCTTCCGTTTTTCATCTGGGTCGTACACGCGTGTTGCTGTCGATGGGCCGTCGATAATACCTTGTTTAATGGATTGTTCGACGTCGACAAAGTGATTTATATTCCCTTTACTAATATCCAAGTTAATTTGTTGTTGTTCCACAATTCTCATCATAGCATTTTTCCAATTGTAAAAATTCATTGGTCCGGCTATTACTGATGTATCATACTGCAACCCCTGGGACTTACGCGGTTCTTCCACTATTTTTAACAATTTTAAATATTTATTGTAAGTTGGATTGTCTTTTGTTCCCTTTTCGTCGTTTGGAAACCACTCAGGTGGTGAAGGTTTATTAAGTGATATGGGTTGATCCTCTCTTATCGCCTTCACTGGTTCAACAGGAACGACAGTCTCTGCTTTGTCAGATTGATCATTTTCAGAATCCTCCTCATCAGTGCTCAAGTGCATTACATCCGTAATGTAATCCTGAATATTTAACTCGTCATTTTTACACTTATTTAAAAGAACTCTGTAGTCATCTTTCACATAAATACCTACAGGTTCAATGGGACACGGATCAATTACAACTTTGGGTTTTGTGCCAATATGATTCAGTTTCAAAATTTTCGATTGCTTTAACAAATACTTCAGTCCTATAGGTGTTTCTCCCTCAAATAAATCGGGTTCGCCACGACTTTCAATTTCTTCAAAGTAGATGTTAGTGCCAATCGCGTCTTCGTATATACCTAGTGCAATGTTTACTTAGTACACTGTGCATAAGATTTCCATGACATACCTTCGAAAATATCATCGCCTAGTTCGACTATAGGTTTTGGTTCACTCAAATTTAACATTCGGAAATATGCCGATTGTTGCTTTAACAGCTTTGATACATCCTTCGATTGGAAATCTAAAAGTACATACACGTCTTGTTCTTCAGATTTATTCGACATTACGCATAGAACTTGTAGAAACTTGAAAAATTTAATAAAGGCTTAGAAGATTTGGAGGTTAAGTTCCCGTAGCACTCATTGAACGGGAGCCACCGTTGATACCATAGAGCACGATACACTTACACACAGTATGCTCCATATTATTCTCAACCGCGTTTTCTACTGCACATTAGATCACCTCGAACGTGTGGCCCCAAAATTCAACTGTTTACGTACGATCCAGGGGTGCTATTCTTTACCTCACTCGAATTGACTCGTATTCGTTTTAAAACAATGTATCAAAATTCGCATACGACTATCATTCGCTATTCATGTGTACCCTTCATAACCCGAATCATTTCAATTGGAATATGTTTGACAACGTAGAAATTCCTAGTAGTTTCCTTGGCAACAGTTTGTTGACACAACTGAATTGCTTTCACATAACTGCGTAAATTGCAAAAAGTGCTTACAATGGTTGCGAACAGTGAACTCTATTATTTTTTTTTTATATAAGATAAGATGTATTAATTTGAATGGGACAATATAAAAATATTATAGTTTGTTTCTGGTTGCGAAACAGCTAAATGTGAGGAATTTCCAATATCTAATTGGTACTTAACTGCCAATCCCCAAAAATTGCACAGCAACCAAAACCTTGACGAAAGAATGAATATGCTATGTAATGTGAAAGGCTGTTGCGATTTTTCAATTTGCAAATACTATTTCTGATGCCAGAAATGAATTGAAGGGTCACTTTTACTAACATTCTGTGTATGCCTATATCTGATAGTTTTTGAGCATTTTTTTAAAAGAAATATTCTTATTTTTTTATTAGGCATGGCAGGCTTTGGAAGCAATTGGTTCATTTGAATCAAATGACAAACAGTGTTATTCACATTAATTCGTCCAAGTTCACTATGGATCATTATTCACATTATGAGGTTTTTTATTTGTTTGTTGTTTATGGCGAGAATAATAAAATAATTGACATAACACTGAACATGCCGGTCGATCAACTTGAAATATAGATACACATTTCCCAAGAATCGCGAAATCAACATTTCTTAGACTAAAAAAGAATTTTGTTGGTCAAGGGAAGGCAGTCGGGCCTGTTGTGATAACTAAACCCGTAACAGGAAAAGAACGCTCCTGGATATTTTGAAACATGCGCATCTGCTGATTTGGGAATTTCTTATTCTTATATGTGACAATTTTTTTTATTATAATAACAACTCTACACAGGAAATCTCTCTATAGAGCCAGTCATGGTTTTGTTTTGCTTAGATTTACAAACCCTTAAACGCGTGCGCTAATACATAACAATAAGAATATTATCAGATCTCTTCCTGAGAACATGTTGCATATGAAATAAAAACATTTGCAAACTGTAGGTATTCTGTTTATTATGGTCAAAATTAGATCTAGACTGCAGGAAAGAACTAGTACGTTTCTGTCATTCTAGGCAAATAAATATTCCACATTACTCCAATTGTTTACTTAAGATGATTAATCACAAACATCCATAGCATGCCCCTTAGGTGTTGGTACATACATATTTGATGCAATGTGAACCTTAAAATACTCACTGCCATACTCGTTGTATTGAGCTCGGGTCACTAAACTTCGTTTAAATTCCGAACTCCGAGCCCACTTTCTAGTGCCATACCAAGCAGCCAAACTGGGACTCGCTATTACGCTTACTTTCGAGTATGACCTAAATGGTCTAATTGATACCAAATCAGTTTCTATTCTTTCTTTCAATCCAGGCAAATTAGCTAAACCGCCTGTTAGAACAACATTACCCGCGAGTAATAACTGCTCCTCGGGGCTAAACAAGGACAAGACATATCCTATAACTTCTATCAAACCAGCTTCGGGTGATCCCATCATGTAAGGTTTAAAAATTAACTCGGGCGCCCGATACCTCTCAATACCAATGTGTAGTTGGTGAGATTCGCCGGGTTTTAAAGTATCGTCTATTTCGGAGGGCTCGTGTGTCCTAATTAGTTCTTCCAGTTCTAGCAACTTCTCATTTTCTGTGTCACTATCAGAATCTCCACCTAAAACAGTAATTTGATGCATTCTAAGTTTAGAACGCAACATGGCTAGGTACCTTCTCTGCTGATCGTTTTATATATGTCCCAATCTTCGTCTCGCAAGCCAAAGTCATCGTTCCCTTTCTCTTTTCGCGCCAACTGTGAAATAATTCGCATCCGCTCTTGGCCTGCCGCCGTTCGACGTTTTGCCATGTCTTGACGTCTCTGTTTTCGAGCAGTCTTTTTATTTAGTATTTCTTGACGCTAAAAATACTTTTACTAAATATTCACAACAATTTCAGCAGTCTAAAGGGCACAAAGCAAAACAGTACTTAAATGAGAACAAAACAAGACACATAGTTCCATTTTCTTATAGGGTGTGTTGGCTATCTATATTTCAAAAACACCTGAGAAACAAAAATAATGTCTTTATTACACCACGTTATTTAAAAGTAAAGGAAAAAAGAATCTAGGCGAAGTTCAACATGTTGATCTAGACGTTCAACTGTTGCTTTACCACTCAACCCAGTTCCAGTGTATCATTACACACATACATATATACAGAAAAATAATTTCTCTAACATGTTTGATCACTTAGGCATTTCATACTTTTTTGAATAGACTGCAAAGAAGGTGAATTTTTGAATATATTAAAATATCTGTTGTAGCAGCTAGTAATCTGATACCTAAAAGCGAGTATTGTGGGGAGAAACACACAGCAATCCCCTATGTTTTTAATTAACCATGCTTTCTATAGTGTGAATGAGTTTATGAGCAGTAACATCAGATTAATTTAATATTTTTTGAATATGTATTTTTATTTTGACGTCTGTAAATGCCTCTTTATAGCATATTAACAGAAATAAACTTATTATTATTATTATGACGTTTGCAGCCCAAATCATAATTGCCATTTTTTTTGGTGGTGTCTTTTTAGAAGAAGTTCCGCCTTTGTGAACTGTCTTGATATTTTTGATTATAAATACAGGGGGTTCAAAAACTACCAATAAGAACTGAAATATGAAAATCGTTTTTTTAAAATGGAAACCTCCATTTTTATATCTGTACAAAAAATATGCGTAACTTTGTAGTCTATTTCCAAAATTTTCAGTTTTCAACAATCTGATTATTTTAATTATATTTTATTAATTTAAATCTTTGGCGGTAGATAGCGCGTTACCGAAGTTGGATAGAGGTAAGTTGGGTTAAATCGTCCTATTTTGGTACCAAGAACCCCTGGTAGCCCGTTGTACAGACCTTTTAGGGACACCCTGTATATAATTACCATTTTCTTTGCATTCTGTATGTAGATATGCATCGCCTTTTCATTTTCAAACACCATTTTATTGGGCTTGCTTTGCTTAATAGGTATATCGTCTACAACTATATCCTCATTTGAAGCGGTCGCTATCTTCTCTTTTGTCTTTTCAATTTTAACATTCAAGGCTGTGATATTTTTATGTAAATCCTCCACATTTCTAATTTGATTATCCACAAGTAGCTGATCGATCTCGTCACTATCTTCGTCGATTTCCAACATTTCCTGAATTGCGATTAGATTGTTTAACTTCTCCTCATCTTCGGCGAGACGCTCCTCCCGTTTTCTAGCGTTAATTTCTGCCAGCCTCTTAGCCAGTTCTCGCTTCCTCTCTTTCTGCTGCTCAACTAAAATATTACGATTTAATTATTATAGAAATTTGTATAATGTAATGCACCTGTTAGTGTTGTTACCGTCACCGTGGAATATGGTAATTGAATTCGTTTAATGTTTTGTTCATAATAATCGGGAGCTGTCCATCTGTATTAAAATTACTCATTAAACAACTTACACTCCGTTCCCAGCGGTATTCATAAAGGATGGGCTTGGACGTGTCGAAGGCCAAGCCTTGTGAAAGAAGGTTTTAAACAGAAGTGCCATTCTACTTACCTATTTAACTCTTCCTTGTAATCGACAGCGACGGCGCAAATTGTATGAAGCAGTTCCTCAGCACGACTCAAAGTAATTGCGTTAGCATGAGCGGGATACTTAAGTTGCAAAATTCGATGCAAAAATGAAATAATATGGGAACCGCCCGTATTAATTCGTCTTGTATTTACGAAACTTGTCTTGTTATTCAGAACCGGTATCACATGAATCGTGTGATATCCTAAACTTATAATTAATCCATTGTCCTCCGATTTCGGTTGCGCAAAATGATACGAATAGACCCCGTCAATTCCGTATGCGACACTGGGTACACCGTAACATTCAAACAGTAATTCGGACATTACTAAAATTGGTCATTTGTAAACAAACACAGGGAGGGTCTCAAATACTTACGCTGCCTAGATGAATTGGGATTCAAAAACGGTTCGGTGATTACCACAGGATGTGTAACACACTTCTCTGTGTCAATTCCTAAGTGTGTAAATGTATAATCGAACAAATGTTCTTGAGCTTCAAAGTGAGTGACCACATTCTTATCAAACTGCGTCTTCAATTGAAAACGTACCGCTTCTATGTTAGTAATATCGTTTCCTACTTGAAGCTGAGGCATAACAGAACTTTCTGGAATATCCTTTTTTGATCTCTCTTTCCTCGGCTTGGCTATCACATTCCGAAATGTTAGCAAAGGTTCCTTCTGGTTGAGCCACCCAACTCTACATTGATACGAACCTACGGAATATATATAAAATTTACATTTACAGTGCAATAAATATGGATACCATTGTCTATTATAATTGCTGCATTGTGTTGGTCAACACCATGGCAATGAATAAGATCCGGAACCGGTTTCGGGTCTTGAAATTGTAAAACTTCCATTATTATTCTATTGGAAAGTGTTCAACAGATCAGATGTTCCATACATAAGTACATTTGTATTCTGCTTTAATTTAATTGCCAAACATAAATAAGGTATTTATGATATCCAAAGCAATTTCAAATTTAATAATAAATAAAGTGAGGTTACGTCAAGTCAGACGGATGTTTTGTGGTTATGTCGTTGTTTACTTCTTAAGGCACCCTACAGACGGACGTTTTTAACGCGTTCCTGTACGCATAAACGCGCATACGAAAACGTGCATGTGTATGCTGGCATGGTAAACGCAAGTGTGGGTTTCTACACTTTTTTGAGCTCAAGTGCCTATAAGCTATGCGTTCGAGATTGCAGCATATATTGCAATCTCCAACTTTTAATAAAAAAACAAGACATCTTTGCACAAGCTTGCCGTATATTTTCTCATTAGATACAAATTGGAATGAAGAATTTACAAAAAATATCAGTACCTCACAATCAAATAAAATTATAAGTAATGATAGTGTGATAATCTTCGATCATGGAGTATGTATGATCGAAGGTGATAATACATTTATTAGGTTGCTTTGTTTGACAATGTGTCTGTCGTATATTTAAAAAATATGCCACATTTAGAAAATAAATACCTAAGCTAAACAATCCTAATATAAGTAATACTATAGCCAGTCTTAATTTAGGATAACCAAAGGTACAGTAAATTAATTACTAATAAACCATAAATTGTGTATATTTTGTTGGTTTAGTAAATACGCCGAGTTGTTGAATGATTTACAAGTACTTAGAATTTTACACTATAACTTTGGAGGTGATAAATACTAGTTTTTTTAGCGCTGACCAGGTCAACTGACGCATTAAGCAGTTCCTGATTTATTTCGTTTCCTCACTTGTTTTTTGTATAGATTCCCCTACAGTTGATGTCATGGAAACCAATTATTTTAAAGTAATTAAATTAAGAAAAGGTTTCCAAAATTACTATAAATTTTGTGTCATCATCGTCAATAAACCTGGTGCATCCTAAAAATAATATAGTGCATGCCATTTCAATATTATCACATTTTAAGTGCCCTGAGTAAAGCTTCACATCAAAACTTACAAAGTGTTGTAGTCAGGAATCTAAATGTCATTCAAGAAGCAATAGCACCAATCTTTGGACCATGTTTGCTTTATTTTTTTAACTATTTATTCGATGTCTCTTCAAGAGGAAATAATTCTAATTATTGTAATGGTTTCTCATTTGTAACTAATCAGAAAGACATATAAACGAATAGTGTTTTATGTAAATCTCATTTTTACAGCAGACTGATTTATTTAATCTCAAGGTGGTCTTAAATGGCATGCACTCTACATTGAGATCGTTATTTTCGATACGTTACTGTTATCCAAACTGTTATAACGTTATAAAAAATATATAATGTTTTATACATCTAAAATTTGCTAGTAAACTAAAGATTTCAACCCACACTAGCCGAGGATATGCCAAAAGATTCCATGACTTCTTTATTAGTTTCATGAAACACTGGTATCATTGCATTTCTGGTTGTCTCTAACAGTTTGTCAATATCGCCTACACCCATTCCCTCTGTCGAAATCGGTGGTAAAGTTGTCATTATAACATTCCCTACAAACCACTCGACTACTTTCACACGTGTTTTTGTTATACTTACCACAATCGAAACGTTTCTGTTTCGAATCTAAAAAGTAATAGTTTGTAATAACTACGGGTAATATGGGAATTTGAGCGGAGATTGCCATGTGAAATGCTCCTTTCTTGAATGAGTGTATTTCACTAGTATTTCTCCTTGTACCCTCTGGGAAGATCCATAACTTCGTCTATGGTGTATATATTTTATTAATGTAACCGACGAAGCATTTTACCTTTTTGCGTTTAACAATTTCTGCAGCCTCATTAACCGAGTTCCGTGCAGAATGCGAATGGACCCTGTCAATGAAAATTAAACCGCACAGCCATGCAGCGATACCGAATGGGCCTGCATACAGAAGCTCCTTTTTGGCCACTACCGTACATTTATCCATAATTTGCCAAATATCGAATAAACCTAAAATGTTAATTAAGCTGAGGTCATTTTTAATGGGCAATTTAGTTTAATTAAGGGGGCGGCGTAAATTTAAGTCAAGTGGAACATACCAATCTATTGTGTAAACTTATACCTAAAACATCAATTGAACTTTGATGGTTCGATACTATAATGCAAGCACGCTCCACTTCCAAGTGTTCCTTCCCACGTAGAATCCATTTCAATCCCAATACTGACGATATGTGTTTACAACAAAAGGCTGCGTATCTGTAAGCGAATTACATTAGGCTTCATAGTAGGTGGAGAGAACTTACAAAAAGTTTCTGACATCACCGGGCTTTAGGGCCATTATCGGTATGAGGCAAACCGAAAAGAACATCACCCAAACGTAGTAAATGGTAAATCTTAAGTAATATCGACATGCTTGACTAGATTCATACAAAAATGGTAATAGGAGAACACAAGCTGCCAAAAGTATTTCTAAATAAGAGCTGTTCATTTTACAAACGAGTCATGTGCACAACTGATTGTTTAATTACAACTTTACAGCTTTTGAGCGATAAAGAGTCACGAAAAAACTGAGTGGGGAAAACTAAACACATCGAGACCGCCTCCTACACATCGAGCACCCCCTTGTTTTTGGTCCACATGCATTGATTTTCCGCATCGTTTTTGACCGGCGTGAACTTTGCCGCACTTTAAAATGGACCAATCAGAAACGACATGCATCTAAAGTTAAAAAGTCCAGCTGTATTTATCACTCATTAAAAATTGCATAAAAAATTCGTAAGTCTCTTTTTAAATCAATAATGGTACTTCACTCTCAATGACGATTTGCCCCATTCCAACCATTAGTAATTGGTCATTGAACTTTAATATTTACCATCAACTCTCTTCCCTGTCAAAATTCAACTTCAACTATTGCAGGTGTCCCGATGATAATGCCTGCGATAAAATGAACAAACCATGTTTAACAGCAGTACGAAGTTGAGGCCTCAGTCCCGTTTAGATCTAAAATGGTTAAAGACCGATTTACAAGGGGCTTTCAATTCTCCTGACGGTATAGATAATTTGTGGAATGGTTTGGTGCACGATGGCGAGATTGTTGGAAGTTTTTCCGAAGAGATCATTAATGCGGCCGGTATTTCGTCGCGTAAAGCGGAATTTGGAAAATATTACTGCGGCGTAAAGGTAACATGCCCTTTGTATGCTCGTTACATGGCCCCCTTTTAGTCTAGATTGACTGTAGTGTTAAAATTTAAAAAGGTAAGGTGAATATATCCCAGATTGATAATAAAAAACCCACTTATATTGAGTGCACATTGTCTTAACTGCAATACGTCATAATAAACACATGTTTAGTTAACCCAAATCATTTTATAATAACAACTGATAAGGAAATATAATTCACACCGCATGCACGGGGCAAATGTTCATTATTACACTGCATTCTTTATTAATTTAAGGAATTTAATCAAACTGGCATGATATAGCTGAAGTAATCTTTCTTTAGGAATTTTAATCGCTTTTAAAACTTTCAAGCGGAAATCCAGTGAGGGGCCAACCTCACACAAATTTTCTTTAACAGGAAACAGAACATTCTGGATGTGCAAAGAATATGCGTATCATAATCAGACATCATCAATGTGTGGCATATGATAATATCGATCAAAGATAAGTTATTAGTTTGGACCACCCTCTAAATTAATTGTCAGAAAATTACTTAAAAGATGCTTGAGTAGGTACATCAAATTTTCACTTTCAGGTTTTACTTTTCATCCCCTAACCTGCAGTGGCCACCCTCTTGAAAACAATGACATATCCTAATAAACAATGATATTCATTCGTTATTTCATTTGCTTCCGGATAAACTTTTGAGTTCTGATTAGAGATTAAGAAAACCACACTCAAGAAGAATCAAGCCCATAGAGATTTTCTCAACAATATTGCATTTACCCTTTGTAGGTACCTTTCTCCGATACCATTTTCGAGAATTTAATAAGCTGACATGGTGTAATAACATACAGGGTGTTTCATATAAAAAAGTTACATGCTTGTTATCTGAAAAGTGCGATGTTTTGTTTTTTAAATTAGAGATTTGGATTCAGTAGAAAAATACACACAATTTTGATAATTTAATTGTCTTTCTTTACAACTTAGAAAGTTAGCAATAGCCACTTAATTTGAAACAGATACATCAACATCAAAATTCATATTTCTGGTCTCTCAAACTCCATGTGAATTTTACATATATATCATAACAGCAACAACACTTTGTTTGATAAATAATATCAAAATTGTTCGAATTTGTAGTAAGGAAACGTGCCCATGTTTTTGTTAATATACTCTATTTAAATTATGGAGGCTTAGTTTTAGACAGATCATCAACATCATATAACTTAAAAATCTGGGTATTTACAAATATGCACAGGAGCTGTGGTTAATTGCGTTTTTAAATGGTCATACAATGAATTGTTTTTTTTTAAATTACATTTATTTATTGTCAATTATTAGTTACATCATTCGTTTTCATAGTAAACAAAAACGCCTTCATTATCAAAGTTCTCTTTGTACAAAAAATAAACTGTCACATATTTATTGTGTATACATTCCTCAAGTACATATATCAGCACATGGTTGTGTAATCTAGTTGATAACCATTACTTTTTCAATTTGCAATCACAAGCTACTCCGTTTGCAGGTGTAATTCATGTTTGTTAGTTCAATTGCGTGTTATCGTAAACTAGACTTTGATATTTAGTAATTTGTTTAAACACCGATTGTCATTATTTGACTGTTATTGATTTTAGTTGAAAATCAAAAATGGTTTGAAATTTGTTTGACCTTGGCGCGTAATAATCATGTCTTTGTTTTACGTATATATACCTTGAAACTCTTTACTACAGCTTTAGATGCAGATCTTCTCCTTAGTAAAATGTGTTTGCCCAGATTAACTAGAGTCCTATGAACACTTTGAGTAAAGGCTCTGATAACAAATCATGTGATTAAGGTGTATGGGAGATATAAATATTGATGTTTCATAGATTATCATAATCGTATACCGAATACAGTTTTTGAATCTTCCATTTTAACACCACGTAAAATTCAATACCATTACTCCAGCGGCTGATTGAGTAGCTTCCCTCACCTTCTTAAGGCGGCTTTAGTCTGGAACATCTGATAGCTCAAATTAATCATTTTACGAAAAATCAATATTGCAGAGTCAAGTCGTCAAATAATTTTTATCAAGAACAATAATATTTAAAAACCTCTGTCTAAATGAATGTGTTGTGATTATCCTGAATTTGTATGTAAAAAAATTCCTTTCTTCCATAATTTTGCTATTCTTTAAATGCAACCAATGGTAAATCAAGTGAACAACAGATCAAGGTTGAATAAATGCGAAGGTTACGATTTAATCTGCAAAATCTCAATTACCACTTTTATTTCTTGTGTTGCAGTACATTTGTGGTGCAAATAAATTAATTGGTAGACAGGGTTTAAGCTGGACAAAAATTCCTATGGGCAAAAATGCTATCGGCTCATGGAGAACTGTAGCAAAATAAATTTTCTTGTAACATTTATTTTCATCGTGCATTACGATGTGCATTATTTTTACAAGGCCCTTAATAATTGCTACAAAATATTCTTTTAAAAATGTAACTTTACACCAATTCAGCAATAGCTGGCCATACACAGAGAGGTTGATCCGCCGGTTTGAACTGTAACGGATAAATACCTATATGTCAGCTTCATGCGTCACTGACAGACAGACAAATTTTTTCAAAAATGAAAATTTTGGCACATTTTTGCTAAATACTTTAAAAATGGCAACCCTAACTCTATTTATTTGTTGAGATTGTATTGTATTTTGTACCAAAAACAAACGATTTATGTGTCTCTGTCACAACTGACACCCCGTGGGCAGGTTTGTTTAAGATGTAGACAGGTTTGAAGCTGATAGCGTGGTTATGGTACATGTTATATGCAAAGACAATCACGATCCCAGAAAAAATTTCTAAGATATGACTGTTCTAAAAGTTGAATAGTCAGGCACTTAATATAAGTAAAAATGCCTATTTGTGTTTCTTTTATGTATAAATATTTTTATATATATTTTTGTTATTAGAAATGTCTATTTTGACCAGACTATACATTTTACCCCGCAATTTCCCTCCGTTTCAATGAAATAAACAGATCTAAATAAACAATAGGCAATTACAAAAATTCAAATTCAAAAAAACACTACAGAAATACAAACTCAAATGAAATACATCAACTCTGTGCTTATTTGTAAATAATCTCTCTAATTTAATAATCTCTTATATAGGGTGTCCCATCATTATTTTCGATGTTTAGACATAAATAACCTCGACATGACGTTGTTAATGCAACACTATAAAGGATCGCCTGGACTCCATTGAAAACCATTACCGTAATTACAACACACGAGATTTCTATAAGACATTTGCAGGAAATAAAATTGAAAACTGGCACTTATTGACCCAAAAATCGGTCATTTGCGGAACTAGTCAACGGTTCTGCACTCCCTTCCGGGTTCTCCCTGGAAATCTTCGCGTATACTTATGTAAAATCCCCGCTACCTACACAAGAAGAAATTCCCAAGCATATTTCCATGTTAAAAAATAACAGATCATCTGGAGAAGACAACCTTATTGCATAACTATTAAACAGCCATCAAGAAAATTGCATAACTCTGGAAAACTGAGTTGTTACCAGAAAACTGTAAATGCATTTTAATTTATCCGCTACAGAAAAAAGTCAAAACAGATCGAAGGATCTCGCCTACAAAGCACTATATGAGCCTGTTTGGACACAAGAACAGCTTGACCACAAAATTGGTGAATAGTAAGTCGGCTTTCACCCAAGCAGATCCTGCGCTGGGCAAATACTTTAAAATATAAACGAGTCAGATAATTCGTACATTTGTTGATTTCAGAAAGGCCTATTATATTAACAGGCTAGACTCCCAACATTCTCAAGGAATATGGACTGGATTCAAACATCATAAATGAAACGCTCAACGACCTTAAAAGTTAAGTTTATGGGTAAAATATCGGAATCAAATCAGGCATCCGACAGGACGATTGTCTGCTCCTAATTCTTTTTAACCTATCCCTGGACGAAGTTATCCATCAGTGGGTAAAAGAAACTGAAAAACTGAAATCAATGCTAATGGATACCTATACACTAGGACGACCTAACGAAGATATTAAAATTACCTGCATATCTTTTGCTCATTAACCTAGCCGTAAGGTAAAAGTCCCAATTATCGACACAATAGCTTGTTTGTGAGAATGAGAAATAGTCTGGGAATACGAAGGGATTTTTTTATGTGGTTTTTTTTAAATCTTTGTACCTTCCATTTCAATAGACAGTCATAAAATATTAAAATAATTTAAATTAAACAAATTAAAACGCAAAGCAGATGAATAAACAATTACGGACACATTTGCGAAAGAATGGATAATAAGTTCATCAAACTGAATCATAATCGAATGTCGTTGGAGGAAATTTTCAATCTTCTTTGAGCTGATTATTAAAACAAAATTGATATAAAACTAAATAGTTTTTTGTAAAATTGGTAATTAAAACGCATGCATTGGGTATATAGTCTTCAACACAGGATCACACCATTTATGACAACAACAACCCACACGTTAGTAAGGGAGGTAAAAAATGACTCCCCACTTTTTTGACGAAAATACACGCTTTAAAGTACCAGGAGTCTGAATCAGGCAAAATCTCGATGATGTCGATTGGTCTGTCTGTCTGTATTCTCATTTCCGGCTAAATGGCTGAACCGATTGGAACCAAAGTTGGTAAATATATTGTTAACCGTAAAAGGGCAGAATCGCATATTCGGAGGTGTGTGGGTGGTACCTGTGCTAGCCACAGCAATTTTTTTACTCCTATTTGGTAATTTGACTCATCTGTTTAAAAAGAAATATCCAAAAATGGATCACAAAATATGGCTAAATCGAGAGCCACATATAATACTTATTAATGAAACGTTTCCAATTGACCAATGCAGTAATCTAACTCACCCAGCAGTCAGAATTGGGAATTAACTATTAAATTCCTACAATCCATCTAAACAGGAAATTGCCCTAATTTATAAGTTTATTTTTTATGGAAATAGAAAGATCTGGGAATTTTGGTTTGGATTTCTAACAAACTGCTACTTACAAGAATGACTTCAAATAGATTTAATACCCATGTATATCTTTTCGAATCCTGTATTTACCTGAAACAAGTATAATAAGCCGCTTAAAATGTTTTGTAGGTGTTAACATGCACTTGCTGTGACGGTATTTGCGGACCCTATGCCGGTTGTAACTGTACTCCTTGCCAAAAAATAGATGCGGAAGAAGCCGAACAAAAGCAGTTAGAAAAAGACACATTTTTACATCCGAGTTTAATATTAGAATCTTGGACGTGGGGTCCTCAACCAAGTGTGTAACCATTACTACATCCGGCACACGTAATGTTTCATACTTAATTTTTAGAACATGAACAATTGGCTACTTTTATAACTAGCTTAAATTATCAGCAGCAGAAACTCTGCCTGGAGGCTGCTAGTACGTCTACTTCAACAATCAGACTTCAGCAACGTTTAACCGTTTTCAAAAGATACTTCATCGCATTAAATCGTTTCTGCATTGACCAAACTAATACGGCAAAAAGTGAGGCGATTCATGGAAAGATCATTAACAAGAATAACAGAATTAAGTCGACTTCGTCTTTTACTAATCCAGTTATTGGGCTTGCACAGGTTGGCTCTAGGGCCGCACTAAATTTCTCATTTGCTTTTCTGCGTAAGGCATGGAGATTAGGTATATTCCTGGCATTTGTTTTTGTAATTTTTGTCAATGTGGTTCTTGTTTAGGTGAAGACACGGATTTGTGTAATGAACTGTTAACTGAAGCTCTGGATGCGTTGCAGCAGCTACCAATTGCGACCCTCTTCGATCAGTCGAACGTCTCGCCAATATGGCTGGAAGTGGTGGAACGTTCGGCGAAATTTTTACGTCAAGTCGTTACTGGGTGAGAATTTAACCGAATGAACAACTATTCGACATTGCCTTGCAGAGACATTACAAGCGGGCGTCAGCATTGCGAAGTGCCAGTAGAAGATCAGCACACGTCTCTAAATTTACTGTTGGAACTGGCATTACAGAAGGGGACCTTGAGCAGCGTTTTGGATGTAGTCCTTCTCTTACTAAATTTATGGGACAAGGCAACACACTTAGATGACAATAGGTATCCATTCTTCGGTTATCCATTGTTTTATCGTGTGGTTTTGCAGATCAATTGTGAAAAATGCAAGTGCGCCAATTCTTCCTTTTCTGAAAAGATTCATAAGTATACCTCAAACTACCAGTAATAACGTTAAGAAGGATCCAGAGAAAATTAATTGCACTGGGATGTATCAGAAGATGCGACACTTGCCAGAAGACGACTCGCTTGAAATTGATTTTCGCCAGGCAGCTTTGGTGCTGATGTGTCATCTTGATCAGCTCGCAGCTCCTCATATTCCTTCGCATTCTTTTAATAAAGTACGAAGATTAGACGTGCGCATTCAGTTCATGATGTAATGTTTCAGTCCATGTTAAACTCGAATCGACAACAAACTTGGGTATGGGGCTACTTGGCATGGCTTGCGGGCGCCGCCGGCCCACATCTTTGCGAAGTTTTCATGGAGTTGGGCATTAAACAACTTTGCTGCTCCGATCGGACTGTCTTGGTTTTAACAAGAAGCGCAAAAGTGTACGCTATCTATTACAATTTGAAGCTTCCCTGTCCTAAATATGTGGAAGGTAATTGGGTGTGTCGCCGAACTAAGATTCTAGTAATAGTTTTAGGTTTGAAAGACAAGGAAGTTATTCAAATAGCCAGCCATGTCGAAGGAAAACATTTCCTCGCATTGACCAAAGATAAACTGGTATATTCGTGGGGAAATGGAGATAATGGTCGCTTAGGTACGCTACGTTGTCGTATAATAAAGTGTTTCTACAAATTAATTTAGGGCATGGTGATACTCTTCCAAAGGACGAACCCGTGGTGATTGAAGCACTTGTAGACAAAGACATAGTTAATGTTCAATGTGGAGCGACTTACAGGTTTACCTCACTTTGAATTGAGCAACAAGTAGACTTTTAAATTGTAGTGCCGCAATTTCCTCTGATGGAATTTTGTACACTTGGGGCCGAGGTAATTACGGGAGATTGGGGCATGGGAAAACGACCGACTGTTTTGTTCCAACTGTTGTGACAGGATTAAGTGGACAGCGTGTCGTTCAAGTTGCTTGCGGATCTGGTGATTCGCATACTCTTTGTATTACAAGCGAAGGTGGCGTTTACAGCTGGGGTGATGGAGATTATGGAAAGTTAGGTAATACATGATGTAGTAGCATTGAATTTATAACTATCAGAAGCGCGGGTTAAATGGCAGGATATGTGACTGTTTTCAATAGTTTAAATTACAAGACGTAGATGTCTCTACCATCGAGAAAGATAAATAATAATGTCAGTTTTTTTCCTTTGTTAATTATTATACAGGAATCTGTAATGAACCCACTACACACTGCATACAGAATTCTAGATACTCAAGAAACGTATTTATAAGGCATTTATGTGGCACACAGGATGTTGAATGACGCAAGATAAACATTCTTCCTTTCATGAATCGTGACCTACTTAACATTCCTTAAGGAAGATTGAATTACATTTGAACAGGAAAGCAAAAAATACGCAGGCATCCTTGATCACAGTAACTGAAATTAAGTGTACCTACCTATCTATTCTTAATTTTTGTGTGTCGGTTAAACTACCTAGGACAGGGGTCGCCAACCTATTGAAACGGAAGAGCCAAAAATTACAATTTACAAAATTTCCCAGTTCTTAGAGCCACAAATAATTTTTGATTCAATATTATAGTTTTTGGCTATATACAGGGTCCTGCAACAGTGCGTCGGTTTTTCCTACATAGCTGATAGATACCTGGTAAAAATATTGGTGGTTGCGGATCTACAGAAATTACTTTTGAATGTACAAGGTGTTCCATTTTTACGATGTCAATTAATAACTGATCTTTTTAAATAGAACATCCTGAATATTTGGTTGTTTCAATGCCGTTTGTTCAAAGTGCTATAACTATTCTTTTTCAAATGGAACTACCACTATTTTATTTCGCTATTCGATTGTCTTTTGTGTTCTCTTAAATGTTTATAAGGGGCGCGCTGTGCTTAAACTCCGCAGTGTTTAGGTTATTCAATATTTTTCACAAAAGTACCTACTCATTAATTAATTACGTGTTTATACATCGGAGTAGGCTGGCTATAATAAAAAAACAAAAGAATACCAGAAAGTAAACAAGTGTCAAAAATTAGATAATTATTTGCTGCAAGTGTACTTTTGATACAAAATAAGATTAATTAAAAAGGGGAATTTCGAACAAATGAACTAATTTCTTTAGATAAATACGGAGAGCCGCAACTTTATAGGTATCAAAAGAGCCGCAGGTTGCCGACCCCTGATCTAGGATCACACGTCATACCTGGCAATTTTGATACAAAATAAAAAGGTCGTTAACTCTTTACCTCTTTTCTTTTAAATTCTGACGTTTGAAATTTGTTCTCAATGGTTAACCGATAACTTATCGATAATTATCGATTAATAGTCAGTCGATAAATTTTAAAAAAATGGTCGACTAATGGATAACACCGATCAACAAAAAAAGAATTTTTTGGGCATGGGATTTACATAATATATTCTGACTATAATAAGCAAAAATAAATAAAAAGTGTGATTAAGACATCGAAAATATTTGCTTTTACAAAAGTTACAGCGATTTGATTGAAAGCTTTCAGGGGCGAAAATTAAAGCTGGAATCTTTGTTTTCCCTCAAAAAAAAAGAAAAATGGAGGGTGATATTTTTCCGCGGTTACTTAGCAAAGAGGAAAAAAAATCCTGGAACAGTTTTAAGGCAATAGTCCATGGTTTCCCGTTCAGTGTTTCCTGGGAAACCATAGAGCTGAAAATTATGACGAGCTGACAGGATTTGGTTTTGTTTCATGGGGTATAGAATGTCTCTAAAGAATAAAGATGCACAGGTTACATTCTCATTTAGATCAATTTAAGGATAATATGGGAGCTTATTCGGAATAACAAGGACAACACTTTGTCAAGACAATGGAACTTAGGCACCTTCCCAAGGCCAGGAAGCTGGAAGCATGATGGAAGATCATATTTGGGGGGTTGATAAGAAAAACTTCAGTTAACATGACAAAAACAGCAAAACTGTTCCATTTTTAAACATTTAGACTCTAAGATAAACAAATTATAAATGTAGAAACGTTACCATTTAATAAATCATACCTTATGTAAGTAAGATTTTATAGGTATTTTTATTTTTTGGTTTTTTGCATTTTTTTCACACAAAAACAAATACATAACCATTTTTTGTTCTAATTCTTATTTGTGGCTATAGAAGCAATATAAATAAGGTATATATGTCCCATGCGCAAAAATGCTGTAGACCGGTGTAATTTATCGAAAATTTTAAAGGATTGGTCGATAAATCTATAATTACCGATAATCTATCGATTAATCTCACAACTAAACTATTAAGATAGATAATTATCGAGAGAATATTTAACGACATAAACTTTTCAATGTTTAGGTATACCAGTTTACTTCCAACAAAAGCGATGTAAGAGCATTGTTGAGTTGCCATATGATCACAATTCACAACCTACTGCTGTACTCATTTTTGAGGATTATCGTCCACTTGATCACCTTTGATTTCAGAAAACTTCAGCTTCAAAAGATCCTGTTTTATTTAAATTATCTCTCGCAATACCAATACCAAAAAAACAAAAATGTTAGCGATGTACGCATGGATGATGTAATATATCGATTGAGAATATATATCGATGAGATTTATGAAAAAGTATCGATAGTTTTCTCTTGATAATTTACGCTACTTATCTATTAATCGATAAATATCAGAGATAGACAATTTTCGACAAGTGGCAATAATAATCGATTATTATCAGCAGCTAACAATCATTATTAATTATTTTCAAAAGTTATCGATAATTATCAAACGTTATCGATCATTATCGAAAATGATCGTTACGATTTATTGATAATTGTCGATTATTATCGAAAGTTATCGATAATTGTTTAAAGTTATAGATAATTATCGATAGTTATCGATTAACGATTAATCGATAATTATCAGACTGAACAGACTTATCGATAAATCGATAACAATTTCATTTATCGCTCAGCTCTAGTAGGTATACGAATTCACGTAAACTGGGACCGATTTATTTGTGCACAATGCTGCAAGGTTATAAAAAAAGCTGATTCGCGAAATTTAGTTATCAAATGTGAATGTGGAAATGATGTAGGTGCCAACTGCCAACAATTCCACTACTGGACTGTTCTGAGGTTCATTTAAATTTGCATTACCGAAAACTCCATTTCCACATTAACATTGGGTAAATGTCGCCAACTTTTTTTATACCCTGGCAGCATTGTGCACACAGCAAATAAAATTAACACATCGGTTCCAGTTCACGTGAATTCGTATTATATATTCTGCCAACGCGACGGCAAATGTGTTGGTACGTTTTTTTCTCTTCTCGCTGACCGTTGGTTTTCAAAATTCAAACGCTTACAACGGACAATATTTTGCCCTCAAATTTTTTTTGATCGTTTTTAATAACAAAATCTCCCGCTTTCAGTAAAAATAAAAAAATGTCGAACCTGCCCATTCATTGTACTGCCTGTGAATAGAATGTATGAAATTGCATTCCTTCAAGGACAAGGACTGCAAGCTTCGTTCGTCTAAATGTATTATTATTTACATTACACATTAATTATGTAACGCTTCTTAAGGGATCTATTTTTAGAACATTCCAATCCTATTTATAAAACCATTCCAATGAGAACACAAAAAACATCCCGAGTTCCTGACATCTAACGATTAAAAAGGAAAATATTCGAATGGTCAAAATGAATGGTTTGTAATGCTGCCATCTAATGTCAATGTAACGCTCCACTTTCGATCGCCCACGGACTTTCAAACGATCGAACTGCCCCTAGCGGCGGAAAGTTCGCATATGGTCACAAACTGTTATATGAGATCCGCGCTTCTGATAGTTATAAATTCAATGGTAGTAGATACAGAGTTTGGAAACTGTGGAAGATATGTAAAACAGAAAATCGTACCTGTTTTAACCTAATCATCAAAATAATTATTGCTTGTATTGTATATTGTATTGTGTGTGTGAGGTGAAGATGGTATTTAAGCAGTATATGGCTTAGGAACAGCCATGTAACAGACTTTGAGTCCCCTCCTGTTCAGAACTAAAGCTTCCTTGGCTTTTTGTAACATGGCCTTGATTAATAATTCGGCCTGTCGTTGCCCTGGCACTCTCTGCCAGATTTATTTATTTATTTTATTTAGGGCTTCTTTTATGTGGCGTTTGTGCACTCCTCAGAAGGGCTCTGGTCCCTTAGAGAAGGAAAAAGAAGAGGGATAAACAATGATCGTAAATTGTAGCAAATTTAATTTGTTCATGCATCAGTAGCATGGCTGCGTATTGTTTATTGGCGTTAGGTTATAGCTACAGATCGGAAATACAAACATATTTGAACAAGTAGAAATTGTGCACGACACAACAAATGAATGCATATCTTTTCTGTTCCTCATAATATAATACAATAAGTACAGGGTGAGTCAACGATTGCGCGGAGTAACTTAATGGCCTTGAATATAAAGCTTATCTAAAAATACAAAGCTTATCTAAAGAACTACAGCATTTCTTTAAGCGAGGATGCTAAACTCGAGCAATAAACCCAAATCGATTTGGAAGCAGGTTAACCAAGCTCTTAGAGTTGAAAAAGATACCAAATGCCCTGTACTAATTCATGAGAATCAAAAGGTGTCAGATCCCCATTATATTGCAGAAATGTTTAATAAGTATTTCGATACAAGTAATCTAAATACTGCGTATAAATCAACCAAAACGAATCTATCAATAAGTAATTTTTATAAAAATTGATACCTGTTTCCTACGGATCCCATGGAAATTCTAACAATAGTAAAAAAAAACCTTCCAAATACTCCATAGGCCTGGATGGAATTCCTTCAATAGTGATAAAAAATGTCGCTACAAATTTGCGATTCCCTTGGCTCACATAATAAATGAATGTCTTCAAACAGGAATCAACTTAAAAGAGCTAAAGTTATACTGATTCACAAAAAAGGCAACAAAGATATAATAGAAAACTATCGACCTATATCCCTGTTGCCAGTTTTCTCAAAAATTTATGAAAGAGTAATTTTTAACAGGTTACTTTCATACCTTCAAAAATACAAATTGATTTTGGTCAGTCAGTATGGCTTCTTGCCTAATAAGTACTAATGATAGAATACGCTTTTCGTTGAAATTCATATTGAATCAACTTGATAGACGAAAACTGGCGGCAGGGATTTACTTCGACTTATCCAAAGCATTTGAAATTATTGATCATCGGATCTTAATTAGTAAATTAGAAAGGTACGGAGTCCGAGGTACTGCTTTGAAGTTGATGAAGTCGTACTTGAGTAGTAGATCTCAGCAGGTCTATATTGAAAACAGCAATGGTTCTGGAACACTGTCAGAGACAACTAGTTTAAACAAAGGGGTGCCACAAGGGTCCATTCTTGGCCCATTGCTCTTTTTACTCTTCGTCAATGATCTAAAACCATCACTACAAATTTCAACACTTATTCAGTATGCCGATGACACGTCATGTTTGTTTGCCAGTGAAACTGCTCAGGAATTGTCCGACAGTCTAACATTAATATCAAAAAACATGGTAGAATGGTGTAATAATAACAAAAATTATATCTACTTGAAAAAAATTACTACTCCGTTGGCGAGCTTGAAGCGAATTAAACGAGACACACTAACATCTTATTTTCCTCAATGTATAACGTTTGTCCTTTTTATGTTTTTAGTTTGTCTTTTTTTCTATATTATTCTACATTCATGACAATGCCAATGTAAATGAATTTATTCATGGCAATAAACTATTATTATTATTAAGATAAAATTTTTCGATAGAGTGCTTTTGTATTATATGGTTGAATATTCTATTTATTAAACATATTTGGAATTATACAGGGTACGCTCATAAGTAGGGCGCTAAAATGGTACATTTTTAAAAATGGATCCCCCTGTATTTAAATTCTTTTTTAGTGCATTTTTTAAGAATTAAAAAAATGCGCTATTGTTTGCGTTTTATCCATCCATCCATCCGGACCCACTTCTGCGGTTTTGAGCTACTTTCAGGGGAATGGTCCTAGAGTACTGGATTTTTTTGCAATATGTAGCCTATACCTTGAAGGTGTGCCAGACGGCCATCAAATTTCGCTGTCTCAAGGGGAGGTGGGGGGGGGGGGGCTTTCCTGAGATGCTGTTTTTGAATTTAAAACGTGCCTAACTTTTACATGCGACAACCAACTGGTCTCGAAATGTGCATACGCATACCTTTAGTGGTGCCAAGTAAAATGTTTGAAAATGGGCGAGGGGGCGGGGGTGAACACACGTTCTACCCTTCATGGTATGTTAATAAACGATCTCCACCGTAATGATTTGGTTGGTACAAACTCGGAAACATTAAAAAAACCACTTCTTTCATAGATCAGTAGGTGTCCGGGGGGAGGAGAGAGGGGGTAGAAATGAATTTGATCTTCTATGTTTTTCCAATTGAAGGTATCAACAAAAGGAACGGTTTTCTACCAACTACCGCTTCCTTATCAAATGAGGGGATTTAGGGAGAGGGGGGTGTGGAACTGCTTTTATCCTTCATGGTAGCATTTTAGACTTAAATGAATTAATCGAAAATTGAATTAATCAACATAATTTTCGTTTTGGTCGAAGCAGATAAAGATTGTCTATTTACATGGCCACCTCGTTATTATCTAAATTACATATAACTTATTTATGATTGGAATTTAAAAACCAGGAAAACCAAGATACCATAGGACAGTGGTCGGCAACCTGCGGCTCTTTTAATATAACACTTGCAGCAAATAATTATCTAATTTGTGACACTTGTTTACTTTCTGGTATTCTTTTGTTTTTTTTTGTTACAGCAGCCTACTCCGATGTATAAACACGTAATTAATTAATGAGTAGGTACTTTTGTGAAAAATATTGAATAACATAAAAACTGCGGAGTTTAAGCACAGGACACCCCTTATAAACATTGAAGAAAACACAAAAGACAATCGAATAGCGAAATAAAATAGTGGTAGTTCCATTTGAAAAAGAATAGTTATAGCACTTTGAACCAATGACATTGAAACAAGTAACAATATGCAGGATGTTCAATGTAAAAAGATCAGTTATTTATTGACATCGTAACAATGGGACACCCTGTACATTCAAAAATAATTTCTGTAGATGCGCAAGCACCAATATTTTTTACTATGTATGTTTTGGCTATGTAGGAAAAACCGACGCACTGTTGCAGGACCCTGTATATAGCCAAATACTATAATATTGAATCAAAAATTTTTTGTGGCTTTTAAAAACTGGGAAATTGTAATTTTTGGCTCTTCCGTTTCAATAGATTGCCGACCCCTGCCATAGGACATTATTATCAAAAGTTGAACGTTTTTAGAGGAGCTAAAAGATAACAGAAAATTGTACAGGGCGTTCCATTAAAAAAAGTGAGATTTTTTAATATGAACTTTTGTAACTTTGGACCTACAAAAAAAACACCCCACCCCGTAAGGTATTTTTTAATGTTTTATAGTAGATATATTTATTTGACTTTTACTTTACCCAGGATAAAAGATATAGAGCCTGGAATGAACATTTCAGTAGTAATTTTGACAATATACTGACGCTTGCAAATGCCAAATTTTTCATACAAATCTAATTATCTTTATAACTACTAGTTTTTCGGATGGTTAATAAAAAAGTCGTACAATTACATGTAGAATTAAAAAATGCATTCAAATACAGGGGTTCCATTTAAAAAAATGTACCATTTTAGCGCCCCACCCTGTATAATTTAAAATATTTTTATAATGATAATAATAGTAATGTTTATTGCTGTTAACGTGCTTAGAATTGTGCATTTACAGAAGTCAAATAAGGAAAACATATTATTTAAATAGCACTTAAAAAAAAATAATGTGAAGAATATTCAACCATATCATAATACAAAAGCACTCTACCGAAAAATCTTATCCTTAAGGCATTAAGTTACTCCGCGCAATCGTTGACTCACCCTGTACTTTATTAGCCCTGTACTTTATGACCGATGCGGCCACCTCTTTTATAAAATCCTCCACAAGAATTGGTGGGTATCCTACTACATTGCCCAATTTGAATCTCTTGGTTCGGTGCAGTGCTATAGCAGCTGTTTGTTCAACTGTTGGCCACCATATAACAGCGGCATATGTGACCATGGGTCTGATGATAGTTTCATACGACTATTTGGTCATTTTAGGCGTTAAACCCCAGTTCCTGGCCTTCTACAGGCCTGGGATACCAAAGTCGCCTTTTTTATCACCTCCTCTCATTAGCATTAAGTACGAGTCTTTATAGATCACATATCGCTAATGCCAACACAAGGTCTAAAGAGGATTGTAAGTATTTGCTGCCATAAAATCGACAAGTTTTGCTGTTGAATGCAATCGAATGATTTTAAAAACGCCCTTTTTAACTTGCAATTATTTAGACTGATACATTTTGTAGGTCGTGGCGGATCCGATGGATCAAATGTTCCACTGCTAATTGATGAGTTCCAAGGGATCGAAATCACAAAAGTATATTGCGGACCACAGTTTAGTATAGCTCTTTCGAAAGATGGACGCGTGTTTAGTTGGGGTAAAGGAGAAGGTTGGAGGTTAGGCCATACCACCGAGGAACATGTCCGTTTTCCGGCTGTCATCGAAAGTTTGCAAGGTGAGATTAAATAGACCATCATTTTTTACAAGTGTTTATAATTAGATCAACGCATTGTGTCCATAAGTTTGGGTTCAAGTCACACTTTGGCATTAACTGACCGAGGTGAGGTGTACGGCTGGGGTAAAAATGAATATAAGCAGATATCGGACTCTGCCGATCTTTACATTCAACAGCCATTGTTAGTAGAGCAGTTGCAAGGTCATGGAATAGTAGGCGTTTGCTGTGGTCCTACGCAAAGTTTTGTGTGGTCTGATCATAATGCGTTTACGTGCGACATACATGTTCCTTTCGTCATCGACTTGAGTGAGCAAACTTTTAGGTAGGTAAACTCGCTTTTGTAAGCGTTAACTCACGTTATAATGCAGGTTAATCGATCAACTTTTGTTGGCGGTTTTGGAAAATGGTAAGCAGCTCTCTAACTATCCCCCCAGTCAGTATAAGGAATGTATTACTGTTTCCGTTTTGAATTTACTGCAATTGCAGGTGAGATAAAGCGTTGTTGCTTGTAGTATCGAATTGTAATTATGTTTCTGACCAGCTGCACTGCATAATCAGTAATAATGTGGACAGTCGAGGATTGGGGTTGTGTATCGGTAGCAAGCTGCTCATGAGTCTAAAATCTAAAGTTGTTCATTTGGCAAGCGCATCAGGTGTTCTATCTACTATACAAGCTGCAGCTCAATCGGCTTTGCAAACTGGTTGGAGCGTATTACTCCCAACTGCCAACGAAAGAGCTCACACTCTTAGTTCTTTGTTGCCCAGTTCAAGTAAGGGATTTCGAATTGGTACCCAATTTACCATTCTGAGTTTAGATCTAGATTCAACCGTGATCAGTTGCGGCCACCGTTTTATGACGGACCTACTCGTTTGGAGCTTAATGGCAGATGGAGGTTTGGAGATAGCACTCACTGAAGCACTTGATACGGAAATGAGTGAATTGGCCGAATCAGAGGAACATATGCATGTTCCGACATCACACACTACTATACCGCTGCTACATTTGGTTAAGCAATTACTCAAGTATGTTGTATATCTGATGTATTCTTTTGTATTCGGCGACTCCTTTCAGAAATATCAGTTCACTCACTTTGTTACGGTTACAAGAGTTCAGTGCGTCCGGCAAATTATTAGTGCAAAAAAATACGCTAACGCCAAGTTTAAATTTGTTACTAAAATTTCAAAGGTTATTAGTCGCCAAGCTTTATACTAAAGATGACGCTTCCATGCAAGCAGCCGAGGTTTTACTGCAAAAATACTTGTACCATTTGATTCCTCATGTGATCGACACGATTAATCACGCTTATGAGGTTGCTGCAACCAGCTCCAAGCATTTTTTGCATGTGCTGGAGATTCTCAAGCTTGATATTGTTGGTAAGGAAGTGCATACAGCTTCTTCACCTCTTTCACATGTTTTTTAGATATACTACTGCCTGAAGTGATTGTAAGTCTCATATTACTACAGAAGGAAATAAAATTATTTTTACTGCCAATGGATTGGTTGCGAGTGTTTGACGAACTTCTTCTCTCTCTGGATAAGTTTTGTCGTTTAACGCCAGATATTGACGCTACAGATTCCGACGACATAGCATGGCCTGGTATACTTCAAACACGGAGTAACCATCACCTACACAAATACCACGAAGACTTACCATTGATACGTAAAGCAGACTTAGAGAACCATAACTTAGATGGCGGCTTGTGGGTGGTTATTAATAACAAAGTCTACGACGTACAGGATTACAGGTTAATTGTGCACTTTTGTTGGAAATAAATTCAGAATCTTTTTTAGAAGCGAAAATCCCACTATTATGGAGTTGTTGCAAAAATATTCCGGAAAAGATGCAACTGTAATTTTTAGCAGCTCATCTCACGGTTTGGCAACACTGCAGACCATGGACGCTTACATCGTCGGCAATTATTGCCAACCTGAGCCGGACATATCCCACATCCCACTTAATTGTCTCAACGTTGCGAATACTCTACTCGATACCGAACGCCACTTAGCTTTTTTGCTGGGTCTACACGCTTTTCACATTCGACAGGGTTTGCCGTTACAGCAGCCTGAGCTCTCATCGAAAAGTTGGACTAATCTATCTTTTCTCAGTGGCGGTCTACAGGTAACCCGAAATGAATCGCCAACTTTATACCAGCCGCACAATTGCAGGTTATTCAGCCACCAAATCCGTACGAAGAGGAAAAAGGTGAAGCGCGCAGTACTAATTCCACTGCCGATAACACACCGACCGAACCTAAAATGAACATCTCACAAAAACCTATAAAATATTGGCAGCTGGGAAGAGAACGTATTAACTCGTTCATTAGCGCTCTCGCCGAAAGTCATCTGTCGGTAATTTAATTTAGTCGAGTGTGCTTAAAGTAGTACATCATTTCTTTATTAGGATTCGTATGTTATTGCATTCCTGGCTATAGTAGAGCAGCATTCTAAGCAAAATAATTTTTTAACTCGCGTAGACTTTTCTTTCGAGCATCCAGTGGAGGAAATCGGTAGGGTTTTGTATGCAGTTATTTTAAAACATTTAGGACTCGGACATATCTTGTTGCCAATATTAGATGCATGTAAGTAGACCATTTTTTATACGATAATTTACGCTTTAATAGAATCATTTTTTCAATGTTCTCATTTTATGTTTCAATTTTAAGAATCAAATTGTGAATCACAAAGGTGACGAGAATTCACATAAAAACTGCCATTTTGTGAGACATTTTATAGTATGAAGTACTATGAGCTGCTTGCCACTTTGTCTTTCTCACTATTTCTCATAGTGTTGTCTAGAACCTTAGACCCTAAACTTAGTAACAGCAAAGAGTATACAACGTAAAGAGCGAAAATTGTAGTGCATTCATTATTGGACAATAATTCAAGGATCAATTGAACGATAGGACAAGTTGCTCGAGGATGTGTGTGTCGTTCTAAAGATCGACCAACATTAATTAAACTCAAGAAATAGGGAGAGTGAAATTTAATTAAAAAAACGTTAATAGCAAAACAATCAAACCCAAATTGAAATCAGGGTTGCCCTTCTTAATCACACGAGAGTAGTTCTAGGGACTTAATTGATTACAAGGAAGGAAAAAAAAGCTATTGAAAACCTTCCAGTATATGTAGTCACTTTCTTACTTGTTTTCCAATTTCTATCAATTTCACATTATAAGAGTTTTTAGCTTGTACAACATCAGGGAATTTTATCTTCGTCATAATAATCGTGACGTTACACCGATATTTAAAATATTGTGCCAAGCGTACAATCTTTCACGGAAATGAAATGAATTACCCAAGATGGTTTGAGCTCAGGCGTCCGAGATATATTTTGCGCCGTAAGTAGAACACCGCACATGCGCAATAGCATCCGAATGTAAACAGAGGAAACCCATAGGCGGCGCCAAAAGGTGTCGCTTTATATTAAATTACAAAACATATTTTGTAACACCCATGGAATGAAGTTGTACCTTTTGTACTACTATACGTTCACCACAAATTAAACACAGCATTTCAATTGCTACTTTCGTAAAAACTACTCATATTGTCTACTGTAATATCGAAAATTCGAACTACAACACAGTAAACCGCTTTATGTTCTATGGAAATAACACGTCACTGAAATGCCGGGAATGTGAATTGTACTGACAACTCAGTGCGCATGATCGGTATTCGACTTGTATAGGGTACTTAACCCCCAGGTTCTACGCTAACTTCACACTACAAGAACACGGAAATAAACTCAACCCGGCAACGTTTAAAAAATGGCCACCCGAATGACTATTCCCTCCAAAACTAAACAAGATCCCACTTAAATTTGTGAGAGTGTCACGTAATCAAACATCTAAGGCAGGCCGCCCTTACGTTAGTTGTAAACAACGCTATGACCTGAAGCACAGTAGGGACGTAAAATAAAACACTGAAATTGTGAAAAGTTTGTTTAATAAGGATCGTTATTATTAAGATTGTGAAAACCTGGAAATTTAGTTGATGGCAAAGCCAAAAGGTGTCGTACTCTCGCAAAAGTAACTGCTCAGGGTAAAAAGAGCACGACGTAGAAATACCTTGCAGTTTGATTAATACAGGCCAAAAGTTAGTTAACAAAATAATTTGTAAAAGTTTAAGCAGTAATTAACAAAGATAGTAAATGCATATCAACAATGTTGATTACATTCAAGGTTAAAAACAAGTTTTGGGAACAAATGGTCAGGTGAGAGCAGGTACCTAAATTCTGAGAAAGGGTTAAGAGTACAGGATGTGACTCATCTTTGGTGCAATATAGTATATTAAGATACAAGTGTATAATCAAGTCTTTAAAGCACGCGCAACGAGTTTAAGGGCACGACGCAAAGCGGAGTGCCTTTAACGTTGCAAGTACTTTAAAGACCAATTATACACGTGTATCTTATAGTATTTTTTATTATACCTGCAGTATAATCTAAAAATAGGAAATACAATGAAGTCATATTGACGTTATACTCGAATACATGTTTAATTAAGTGGGCTGGGTGTTCGAAATTTCACGATTGCCATGGAAATGTCACTTGACGTTTGCTTATAATCATCATAATCTTTGTAAATAAAACGATTTCCGTTGAAAAAGATAATACACCGTCCATTAAATCGCTTGTTGTAAAATCTAAACAAACTTTGGTAGGTGTAAAATCCAACTCCAGTAAAGCCTATTATAAAGAATATGAAAAGTTGTTTCCATGGATGAATAGGAAGTTACTTACGAATACAGTCTTAAATGCATCCCTAATGCTGGCATATATGAAGGAAATGTCAAAGGTATTTAAATCTTCTATATTTTGGTGCATTCATTCAAAACTTTAAAGCAATGCTGCGATTAAAAAGTGGAACAGATTTGGAAACATACCTTAAATTACGCGCGTTTGTGAAAGCTTCAACGAAAGGATAGGTACAAAAGCCAAAGAAATGTTCTGCATTTACAGAAAGCGACCTAAGAGGATTTTTTATTTCATCCAGATGACAGTTTCAAAAGTCATACTTGAAGTATCGTTACTTAGCAACTTTAAAGCACGTGTGTTTTAAAGGCCCTTTTGCGCACGCATTTGAGTGTTTAAAACGGAGATTGTGATTCAGGTATAATAAAAAAGTCTTTTGTTAACTATCAGCAGAAATATATGGAACTTAGCGAGTCGTAACTCATTTATCGCACATAGACTCTAAACCGAAGAGTTTTGATTAGCATAATCTCGCCCCCGCAAGATAGGTAGCATCACCCCTCGTTTGGGGTTTTGAGCCTACAGTTGAATATCGAAGACAATTACGGAATTAGGTGTCATAACTCAATTTGATTACATTGCTTTAGCTCTCTGTTCTTTATTCACTCCTCTCCCAGCGGTCGTCAACGTTTTAATCCTCACCGACCACCAAACAAAAAATATTTAATCTAGGGGACAACTACTTAAATAATTTTTAAAATAGTAACACTATGTTTGGACATAAAAACACTTGTATATTTAATAGAATGTCTATTTAATTTAATATCGCAACAATGAGTTAATAATTAATAAAAAATAATATTTATACCACCGCTTGGGGACCGCTGCTCTATCCCATTACCCATTATCTTTGCTTCACTCATAATTAAAATATCGAGATTCGTCTTTAAATTCTTTACTTCTCCATCTTTGACTATCCCAAATCCCTATGGTTATTTCCTTCTTTCTGGTTGAGATTTTCAACTGCTAAGTGCTGAAACCTAGTAGCAGAATTGCTTTCCCGTATTGCACTCCCTCTTAGTGATGGTGGGGAATTATCCTTTGATTTTTCATTTTGCTTTTGATGTCTCTTTCCCCTTTTTTTCCACGTGTTAGGTTGCTTAAGGCAACAACCCCCTCCTGGTGTTCGCAGCCGTCCATTCTGGTTCAGACGCTGCTGTCAGTTTTGGTCCACCTAGAGTATTTTATGAATCGAGGAAAAAAAAACCCGTGAAAAAAAACCCTGGAATAAAAACCCACGGAATAAAAACCCACGGAAAGAAAACCCCCTGGAAAAAAAACCCTGGAATGAAAACCCCCTTTTTTAAATCTCCACAATAGGTAGGTATACATCTTAGGGCGATTGTACAAGGCAAGTATATACCTATAGTATAAGTTATTCCAAGTACAAAATCTGAAAATTGGATTGAATGTTTAGATTTTATACTTTAAATAGCTTATACCTGGTATATACTTGCATTGTGGAACCGGCCCTTCGTAAAATTTCTAAAAGTGCGAACTGTGTACTCCTGTGCTGAATTAGCTTGCAAAAAGCGTTGTTCATTGACTTATACCCGGTTTCACAAAGAGTGTTAGTTAATCAATGATTATATGGTATATGATTGGTCGATTTTTTATGTTTACCAAATGATATGGGCTCAAACCAACGTTATTCATCTGTTAAATATTAACAAATGATTGTGATCTTAATCACGTTTGCGAAAACATACTTTAAATTCATTTAAAATTACACCAACAACATTTAGGTCAATTAATCCCAAAAAGGAAGAAAGCCAAATATGTACTGCTGCAAAGTAGACTAAAAAATATCTGCGAAGAATACAGCGCCGGACAAAGAGATGTGGTAAACTTCTTAGAAGCTATAAGTCATAATATTAGGTTTAATTAGGCTTAATGGTAGTTTAGGATAATATGCAATTACGTATTTTGTAAAAATTGTGAAAATTTGTTAATAGAATATCTCAACCGAGTTCTGTTTGATATTCCTGTTTCAGTAAACAATATGCAACTTTAGAGCTCTCGCGCAATATTTCCTTTTTTTCTCTGTGGTTTTTCTTCCGATTTTTTACCAGGGGGTCTTTCTTTCCGTGGGTTTTTTTCCGGGGGGTTTTCTTTCCATTTGTTTTTATTCCGGGGGTTTTTATTCCGGGTTTTTTTTCCAGGGGCCTTTTTTCCGGTACCGGTATTTTTTTCCCCGGTACCACCACCCACACGTAACTCTTAGCATTCTCTCATTATTTCCTTAGAATTTCGACAACCTTTACAATCTTCATAACCATTATAATTTATTATTTTTTTTAATTTATTATCCCTCTCTTGTTCTGGGCCCTCAACAGGCTTTCGCCCAATGACAGAGTGACTCGATGCATTTTAGAGGTGCCCCTGCAGAAGGTCTTAAGTTGTTCTGTACTACTCCGGTATTTACCTTACGAATTAGGAACACTGCAGGAAAACCTAATTCGGAGTAACCGGCAGAATGCTCGAAACCGATCTAAGGAAATTCCCATCTCTGCCACAGATGAAAAATTCACATCAACTCAGGTTCGAACACCCCACCTCCGGGCTATGTAGCCCAACTTTCTACCACTGAGCCACACAGACCGTCAATTCTTAGGATCATCATAGAATCTTCTAATAATCTTCTTGAAGTCATATTGGAATCTTTTCAGAACTTTCATAGAATCTTTGTTAGAATCATCTTTAAATTTTCATACTCTTCTTGAGCCCTGTAATCTTCTGGAAAACTTTTTTGCGTTTTTGTTAAATCTGCTGACGATCTTGTTCGAATTTTGAGAACCTCTTGTTCTGCATAAACGTCTTAGAGTCATCTTAACATTATCTAAATTTGCTTCTTAGAATTTTTAGGAACTTCTTTTAGCATCATTTTAAATAGCATTAGAACTTCTTGATGCAATTGTCCTATCAAAATCCACTTTTTACAGCACATTCACTTTTAATTAAAACCTGAAGTTTCTTAGAATTTCCCTAGAATCTTTTCCTTAGGATCACATTCAAGTTTTCTTGGAAATTTTTTAACAGCTTCTACTTTTTCTCTATTAGAAGCTTCTTTTATAATTTTTTTTAGAATCAAGAATCTTCAAAACCATTAAAATTTGATAATTTTGTAAGGATTTTTGAATTTTTTTAGAATCATTGAAGAATCACTAGACTCTATCATAGAATCATTATTTTAGAACATTATCATTCCAAAAAAATATTACATTATCTTTTGATTAGGCGACCAAAAGCTTTGTGAATCATTTCTTTTTATGAAAGAATGTTATACTGCAATTTACTGTAGTTATTAAATCTATTAGTCCATTATAGTATTTTTGAGATGCATTGATGAATGTTTTTCATTATATTGTATTAGTTGTAACATTTTTCTTTAGTACTTAGCAACTTATAAAAATGTGAGAGAAAATTAACATCTAAAACCCGTAAGATTTTCCATCTTTAGTTGTATACTCTTTGGTAACAGGCAGCGCAAAAAAGATGATTAAGTCTAATATTCAAAAACCATTTTTGACAAGAGCAATGAAGTTTATTGGGAGTCATCATCTTTCTTAAATCTCTCTTTGGTTTTAATGCTGGGATCTTGAGGATCAAGCAGGCGTTCAGATTACATTTTGTATAAATTAAAAAAAAATAATTTCAAGAGGGGTAAACTGCTCACTATACCTCTTTTAATGAAAACTGCGCTACAAATAAAAAACAAATCTAACGAAAGCAAAATTAAGCTGTTGATCCAGATACCCTAACAAAACTGATCACTATATTTCTTAAATAGCTGATTTTAATAAAAGTTTTGTAAAATTAAGGTCGAATATTGTCATAAATTTTTGAAGTGTAACCATTGAACAAGTGCTTCACTTTAGAACAACCTATTTGGACTATTCGGTAATTAAAAATTTTTTAGACTTAGCTCAACCCACCATCAAACTACCAAAATCGTTAGCGGAAATGATTAAGCAAGTGCATACTGCCAAATGGAATCTCATCAAAACAAGACAAGAATTAAATCGTAGTTACAAGGAAGTCTGTATTCCTGTATTAGAGAAATGCAGATTTTTGTTATATGAAGTAAAACCGACGATTAGTCCAGAAATGGAAGCATTTAAGAAAGTGAACGTCCTTTACAAAGAACCGCGAGTAAAAACATTAATCAAGAAAGTAATTAAAGATTTAAAATGCGGTCGACACACATCCGACATACAAAAACCCGAAGACATAGTCAACGCCACAATACAATCTCAAAGTATTGAAAGACACAGATCGGTGGACGATATTGTCAAAATAAAACAGGGTTCGTCCGACGGGAAAATGTCCGAGAGCAAGAGCGAAACGGATGATGTTAACAATGAAATTAAAAATGGCGGCGAGAAATCTAACGTGGAAAGTAAAACCGATTCCTACATTACAAACGCTAGCAGACATAACAACGAGCAACGAGCGCCGAATAATTGCACAAACCTCAAGACGGAATTGGAGGAGAAACTGAACTCTGAAAAGCTCGCTAACGAAATAAAAGCGGAACAGAGCGAAGAAGACAAGCAAAAAAAGATCGAATACGAGATTACTTTAAATAATTTACTGAGTAAAATCACGGAGAAAAAAATGCGAAAAGTCTGTGGGGAGAATTTGGGTTTGATTAGCTCGATTTTGGAATTTGTTACGCAAGACAACGGGTGTGATATCGACGTCTTACGTAAGGCGATGTATTGTCAGGTGAGAATTTGTCTTGGATTTCGCGAGCGACCTCTGTGTTCTTTCAGATTAAGCGCGCCAAAATTCGTATGGAAGGTTTAAATATGATTAAACATTTACTTAACGAATCCTACCTTCTTCCCTCAGTCAAGTATTGCATATTAAATGGATACTTGGGATTAACCGACGATTATAGGATTAACTTCAAAAGTTACCACTGCTTAGATAACGTGCAACTAATTACCCCGAGTTTGAAAACAGGTTTATTGTTAGCGCAAATGTCGGTGACGGAGTGGTGTATCACATCGCTTCGTGTTCAACTTATGAAAGACCTACCGGCGAGGTCGCATAAGTTAAAAATGCATAACGCAAAAGTCAACTTGAACATTGGAACTTACACGCTTCTTCGTGACATTTCAAGGGCCCGATTGCTATTAGCCCTACTGGGCATTCTGGGCTCACATCGCTACGTTGGTGTTGAATTAAGTCCCCTAATTAACAGTGGCGTTATAAGTTCAGTATTATCGTTGCTACGACAAACTGGCTACGATCAAACTATTCTAAGAAAGGCCACCGAATGTTACGTACTGTACGCCGACATGCTAGACACTTCCAAACCCAAAAAAACCATGCTCTCCGGTCCAGAACTGGCCAACCTCATGAAATTGGGCACACGTGTCGTTCGCGGCGCGGATTGGAAGTGGGGGGATCAGGTGAGCATTTTTAACTAACCTTCACCACTTTCATGTCGTTACCTTAGGACGGTTCTCCGCCAGGTGAAGGACGAATCATTGGTGAATTGGGTGAAGATGGTTGGATAAGGGTGGAATGGGCGAATGGTACTACTAATAGTTATCGAATGGGGAAGGAGGGCCGATATGATCTTGCTCTTGCCTCGCCTCCATCACCAATTTCATCGGATAATACCGAAACTGATGAACAGACAGATGGAGGTTTGTTAATTAGAAAGTTTGTTAGATATTTAATATTTTTGGGCTTGGTCCTGTTGTGCGCTGAAGAGGAAAACTCATGACTGACCCCCCCCCTCTCCCACCGACTATTAGGTTAGCCTGGTCCTTTACCTCAATGCCAAAAACTATCAATCTCCCTTGAGGTTGATCCTTCACGGCTCTTTGGAAGGGACATCAGCTGCTTACCATTGGCCAAGAATTCTGCACCTCCAGGCGCCGCTTGACCGCCACCAGGTCGTCAGGTTCCCTTGCAGAGCCTAGGCAGTGTTCGGGCACTATCTTTAAGTGTGCAGTCTCCCACAATTGTGGGAGGGTATCAACTACCTCTTTCAACCACTCAAGGGAATGGTTGTTCTCACACGATATCCTTAGGAACTCGCCCGAGTACCTCCACCCCCCGAAGGTGGGTGCTCGTGTTGCGCCTCGTAGGGCGAACAGATGCTGGTCAAGAACCTACCGTACCATAGCCGCCTGGTTCCCCGTTAGCATACCCAGAGGGTTATTGGTATCTATTTCAGTTGCCTTTCGGCAATTTGGTTGTAGCTACTGCGCGGTGCTCCACCCGCTTTTGGTTGGGGCTGTGGTCTATTCTTCATCTGCGATTGGGTTGGTGTTGAGTCATCCGACCTCTCCCTCTTTTTCTCCCCACCTACCCATTTGCCCACCTGACCGGAGTTAGCTCTAGCAGCCTGCCTCATTGTCACGGTTGGGTCCATGGAGGTGGACGGTTTTGGGGTGGGGTGGGGGAGCAGTTTGACCCATTTGGGCCATCTTGGCCATCTTTCTCCTCTTCTGCTCAGCGCCGGAGGTGCGCTTGCGTAGTTTGGTAGGTTGTTGAGGCTCAGTGACCTGTAAAATAGGTTGAGGGGTATCTTAGGACGCTCCCTCTGGTTTATTATTTTAATCAGTTCATGTCAGAAGAGTGTAACTTCATCCCTCTTGGTCCCCGCCCACCACGGAGCCCAACGATTTGCTATCAATTTTTACTCATCGATTTTACAGTAGGTACCCTAAAGTCACTAAACATAGAAAGTACCGCAATCCATTGGGCTCGTGTGTTAGAGAGAGAGAACGCATGATTTTTGCCCAAAAATGGCGGAAGTTACCAGATTCTAGTAACTTTAATGTTGGGGATTGTTCCACCTGTTTGGAGATATCTATATCACAGCCGTCTATAATTACAAGCCATGCTGAGAAGTTTGGCAACGTTGTTCGAAAGTCAATCGGTGGGCCGATATAAGTTTTAATGGCGTCTTGTTGCTCTTGAACAATTGCATTTTTCCTCTCTCCTGTGTTTCGCCTTGGTGGTTTTAATACAGAAGAAAGAATTGCGGTACTTTCTACTGTGCGATCAAAAATGAGTTGCTGTCGAGTTACCTTTGGAACTTTTGTTTACATGGGAAATCGTATTTAACTTGAACTTCCAAAGGCGACTCGACAGCATCTCATTTTTGATCGCCCGTTATATCTAGTGACTTTAAGGTACCCTAAAGTCACTAGATATAGAAAGTACCGCAATCATCCACCATTTTTGGGCAAATTTGCTGCCAACTTAAAAAAATTGACAAATAAAATCTGAATAGCTGTAATTTTTTATAACCTAACTTCATAGTACTGTCATGTTTTATAAAAATACCAGCTGACCCGACGGACGGTGTCCTCTTTCTTAGCTATGAATACCTATTCAATTCGGGCTGGAATAAATAATTACAACAAATTTGCTGTGGCTAATACAGATACCACTCGCCCCACCTGCGCATGCGCGATTCTGCCCTTTTATGTCTAAGAATATGTGTAGCAAATTTGGTTTAAATCGGTTCAACCGTTTAACAGGAAAAGAAATTTTGACACACTTGCCCCAAAAATCTCCCAATCTCCCCAAAATAAAAAAAATAAACGCACTCACTTCTAGTTGCTTTTGGAGATTCAGAGCGAGCAACTTATCTTTTTTTTTGGTGCGCCAAATGCCGTAATTTGAAAGCAATTATTGTATTTCTGGATATGAGTCAAAAAAGGTATTGAATCTGGCCCATTTCCGGAAACCAAGGAATGTAGTGGTTCTGGTGGCGGTACCAATGGCGTCAATTTCACTTGGCCACTGGCGCAACATAATCCCAGGGCTTCAGTGTTAAACTTAAAACCCTAATAGCAACGATTTACTGTAAACTGTAATCGATTGCTACGTTATAATTAAATGCAGCTCGATAGGGATTAAAGGGGACATTTCTGCGTTCATTCATATCAATTCCGTTAACTTCGTTTCGCGCTTCGCGTTGCTCGTCAGTTTGACTTACTCGTATATATTTGACTTGTAGGATTACGAATTCTGCGACTTAAGTTGGTACCATGTTGGCACGTCTAATAAGTACCATCTTGAAAAAACTAAAATTCAACTGAACATAGACATTGACTCCTTTAGTGATTCTTGTAGAACTATGTATCACGTGTTTAGTCTATCAACACTTACCAAAAATGGATATTAGGTATATCAAACTTTTAATATAAAAGGCGTGATTGCGGTGAAATATCCTCGAGACTTCTGAAAAACTCACTGAAATCTGTTTAAACTACCTATCCGATCGAATTGACAGCACACTATGATATGAATAAATTAATTTTTTGACAGATATATGCCGATCCATTGTCAATCGATGTAGCTGTTAAAACAATTGCCGTCGCATCGTCAAACGCGCGTAATTTAAATAGTCGTTAAGTTTTCTCCAATTTTCTGCGCGATTTTCTTAGTTTTTCTTTCCATAAGAACCTTTTACACAGTACTAGAAACCTTAAAAAAAAGATGAATGAAATCGGTAAAGTCGTTCTAAAGTTATTGCGTGACCAGAAGAAACAGGGGTTCATTTTTATATATATTTTATATATAGAGATATACAGATATCTCCAAACAGGTGGAACAATCCCTAACATTAAAGTTACTAGAATCTGGTAACTTCCGCCATTTTTGGGCAAAAATAATGCGTTCTCTCTCTTAACACACGAACCCAATGGATTGCGGTACTTTCTATATTTAGTGACTTTAAGGTACCCTATGCAGTAGAGCCACCTACATTGGAACGGCCGGAACTTCTACAGTTCGTGTCATTCCCATTATCAAAAAAAAAACAATTTCCAGGCTTTCTTTTGTCAATGTTTGAAAGATTTGATCTGAATTTTTGTTACTTTCTAAACTAAAGCTGATCTTTCCCATTTGTCCGCTACCGAAAGTTGAAAATACAGTTTGAACTTTTCGTTGCAGCGGCTTTTAACTTTTCCAAAGATAACGAGTTTATAATACTCTTAAGAGAAGCGAGTATTAACTTCCTGAGAGTGATTGGAGCGAGTGCCGGTTTGGCGAGGGATGATCTCCGTGCGGGAACAATTCACGGCTTAAGTAGCTTATTCTGCAATACGATCAAGTCGGGCAATCAAGACTGGTGCAATTTAAATTTAGTTCGAAGTATAGCGCAGACCCAACAGTTATGCCGGGCATTCAGTACAAAACCATGGGTCGATATGCTATTAAATTTTGTGAATCCAATTACCACTCACGGAGGAAATGAAATGAATCTACCCAAGCAGGTATTGTGTGATGTTAAATGTTTCGTGTGCAAACATTTAAACTTTGTAGATACTTTCGTTGCGGCTGTTAAAAATAGTGCTACAGTCGTGGGACATGGATAATCCAGACATACAGCCATTGCTGGAGAGATTACTGTACATCTTGGGAAAAATCTCACTGACATGCTGCTACGATATTGGCAACAAACCATTACCTGAATCAAAAAGCCTGGTACTACTAACGCAATCCCACAGCAATATTTTATCACAGGAAATAATCAACTTATTGCGCACCTTGCATGGCATTGTTGGTTGGAATCAAGTATTAAACTCGATCTTGGTGCAAAAGTTAAACATGGCGGCTTACTTTTTAAGTGACCGGTACACGGCAGTAGATAGCACCGTTTCCGACCAACAGTTTTTAGTAACCGCCTCTCTCATTGTTTTTGGGGCGTGCGATGTCCGTCCCAGAACGGGAGCAATAGTGGAGTTGGAGTTGGGTTGTGGAACAATCGCAAGAGTAACCCAAAAAGGGAAATTTTGTGTTCAAATTCATTCCACCGGCGAAATAAAAAAGATTAGTTTGTCCAATTTGAAACTTATATTTGATCCTCCGTTTAATCTGGAACGAATACCCCTAAGTGAAAATCTCATAAAAATTTGGGCGATCTTAATGCTTAATAAACCTAATGTCTCTTCCAGTTACGAACGAAAAAGCCTACACGGTATGTCATTGTGTTTACAGCATGTCACTTCAACATTATTTCCAGGTCAGGTCGATGTGGCATACTTACGAATGCAGCAAAACATATTAAACGCAATTAATGCCACGCAAATTTTACATTGCAATCAGTACAAATTACGTAAAATACTGAAGTATCAAGTCAATTCTCTCGAACAATCTCAGGAACAACAATCCATCGAAGAAGAGCTTAATCAACCTCCTGTTTTATTAATACAAAAGCTGTTATCACGGGCTATTCAACCGAGCCCTCTAAAACCTGGGTTTGGTCTACAGGAAATGCACCTGGCCGCCCTCAACTTAAGTCAATACTTGGCGACCGAATGTAACTTTGAACAGCCACTACCCGAAGTTAGCAGTGACAAAAATAATGATAAAATGATCGTAAAGCAACCAGTCGAAAAAGAGGCTAACGCCGAATTGGCTACTCCAACCAGTGAGTGTTCATTTAAATCTCTTGTAAACGAAAAGAAAAAAAAGAAGGGGGAGAATAGCCAGAGCGCGTCCAGTCCGCTTGTAACCCAAATTACCGAAATGGGTTTTAGTAAACGACGTGTAGAAAATGCGATTAAATCCATCGGGATCATTCCAGAAACGTTACTTACACCCGAATCTGTAGTTTCCTGGTTGGTTGAACATCCAGATACAACTGTTTCGGACACTGAGTCCCTAAGTTCGTATTGTGGTTCCGATAGTGAATCTACCTCTGATCAAAATGAGATGACGCCACATTCGTTGGATGAATATGTTAGTATCGTCTGAATTTTTGGAGATAATCCTTAAATTGATAATTACAGAATGGAGACAATTTAGTGTGTTCGGTCAGTTATATGCAACGTTCAGATTTTTTATCAAATGATGAGTATGCCATGTATATTCGTGACAATATAGAAGTGGGGATGTTGGTTAGATGCTGCAAGAGCTACGAGGAAGTTCACATTGGTGACATTGGGAAGGTGATAAAGATCGATCGAGAGGGGTTACACGATTTAAATGTTCAGGTGAGTATGGGGCTATAATTTTGTTTGTCAAAGTGTTTTTTATTATAGGTTAATTGGCAACATCGCGTTAGTACATATTGGGTTAGGTTTATCCATGTGGAATTACTTGGATTTCCACCGTCATTACCAGTACCCGCCAGTATTAAAGTTGGTGATAAAGTTCGTGTTAAACCAACAGTTACTACGCCACGTTATAAATGGGGATATGTTACACATGATAGTGTCGGTATTGTGACATGTAAGTATTATCACCAAAATTGCTACTGCAGTTGGTATCCAACGATGTATTGAGGTCACACAAATATGTTTTAAAATGCACTACTCTTTGCAGCATAAGGGGGCAGTTACATTGTGCTATAGGTGGTAGATTTGTATCGTTTTTGTTAATGTATATGTTGATGAATATTTTTGGAAATTCATTTATTGGATTCACACATGCAAACAGTGTAACAACACTCGTGTAAGCTCATGACTTCAGCCTTGAACAGACTACTGTCTATTGATCTTCTTAGTTGGTACACAGTTTACACTAAATACATATCGTTGCTGTGTGTTTTTTTGCAAATTGGTATGGAACATCGTTTTAACACTTCGTTTTTGTGTTGCGATTTTTCAAATTTCTCAACTAACACCTACACTTGATTCTGAAGTAGCAGAGTCAATCTAGGTTAAATAAAAATACAAAAAACTTATAGTTTTGAAATTTGGTCAAAATGGTCTTTGGACTTTCCTCTTGAACATATCCAAAAACCCCATATGTGGGAGGTGCGCAATAGGCCGCTATTTTCAATTTTAGGGTCCTACGAGGGGTAAACCGCTAGCAAACATTTGTACACCAAATACCTTTTCCTGAAAAAATTCCCTTTATTTCCTTTTTTTAATTCCTCCTAATTTTGTTATTTTCTATTTTTACTTTAATTATAGCCATGAACTCCTCAAAAAATTTTTATTTCCTATTAATACCTTAATAATGCTCTCAATTCTCCACAATTTTTTTAATTTCCTATTAATATCTACCTACATTATTGCTCTGAATTCCCCACAATTCTTACAATAGCTCTATTCTCTATAATTGGGCTACAAAGCCGGAGGACGGGTGTTCGAACCTGGGCTGAGGTAAGAATTTTTCATTTGTATCAGAGATAGGAATTTCCTTAGATCAGTTTGGAGCACTCTGTCGGCTACTCCGAATTAGGTTTTCCTGCAGTTTCCCTAATTCGTAAGGTAAATATACAGGAGTAGTATAGAACAACTTTAAAGCATTATATGGGTCACTCTGTAACTGTGCGCAAGCCTGTTGAGGGCCCGGAACAATAGACTATAGAGGGGCAATAAATAAACAAAATAGATTTAAAAAAATAGACTAATGCATACCTTTATAACTTTACTAAAATTATTTATTGAACTTATTGATTTCTCCGTACTATAAACGTTTTAAAATAAAAATTTATATTTGGTTCATAGTGGTGAAGTTTAAAAAATATTAATTCCATAAAAAAATATTAATTTATTCAGTACATAATGTTCAAGGCAAGGAATAATATGCACTTCAACATGTAGAAATATGCGCATATTATATGCACAAAAATAGTGATAATTATGCACCAAATATGCATCATGTTCTTTTAAAATGCACAATTTTTCCACAAATTTTGGTATTTAAAACAACAGGTTGCAACAACTTCATAGTATAATTTTCAAAAAAAAAATGCACAAAATATAACTAAAAACTAATTAATTTCAACTTACATTACCCTTTGATAACGAGAAGGAAAATGCTAAGTAGGTACTGCTTCGTAAAACTCCAAAGAAAAACTAATAATTACGGCAGCGATTACAAATGCAGACGTAAAAACTGCAAGCTTTTTATGCATTGAGTTAGAAAACTAATGGAGGGAATATAATGGTAGAGGGGGTAAGAATTTTTGTAGACGGAAGTTGCCACAGATAGAGGCCACTCGCGTGGATAGGTTCCCGTGAAGGTACATTTTGGCCGACATTATTTGACATATGAAAACGCGGGTCCTGTCACTGTCAGTTTTCCACCAAATTCAAATTTTATTAAATTTGCCATTTTAAAGTACCTAATAATTTCGGATCGGTTTGTGCTCTCGTTTATATAACAAGAGTAAATAATTATTTACTCTATGCTGCCGCATAGTGTTTTTATCACACGCAATTTTGTGAATTGAGAATGATTAGCTGCGTATCATGCAAAATTTCTCATAAAGGGAAGAAACAGGGCATTTCCTTTCATCGGTAAGACATGTCATCTATCATGTTGTAGGCGAGGTTGTAGGTACCTAGTTTATGTTTCTTAGTTTTCCAAACGAACCAGTACTTCGAGCAAAATGATTACCTAACATTTGTAAATATATCTCAAGAACAGCTCTCGAAATTTACTTTTGTGCTCACAACGCTTCATTGACTGTGATTTCGACCAAAGGTTGCACGGAAAATGTTCATCAAAGATCTCGTCAAATATGCAGTAAGTACTATCAAAACTTGTAATGAACCTGAGACCAACCAATCAATTGTAGCTATTGATCAACACAGTGAATTTAATGGGAGTTGTCAAGTTGTAGTGGCTATAGTAAACTGGCCTTAATTATACTAATGGAACACATCGATGTATATTTAGATTTGTAATCAATGATTATATTAAATCTGCATACTTTCCCATCCTTGTCTATTTTGTTTACTTTACCACGAGCACGAGCATATATTTTACTCCTTCTATACGTTTTTTTTTGTTATTATTCCTATTAGTGGAAAGAAAATTATATCTCTACGCCACTGAAGTGAGACGCTAATGATAACGGAAGTGGTGTGGTCTCGGGTGTGGTACTTTAATCACAGTTAGAGGCCACGTTTGGTTCCCGTGGTCTACGTCTGGCCAAGCATTTGATTCCCTCCATTACTTTTCTAACTCAATGTTTTTATGCAATCATCGGAATTTATGACTCACTAAGATACACAAAACCTGTGGCGTCGACTTATGAACAGGAAAGCGCAAAAGTATCTTGCTTTGCAATTTTATAATTGGCCAGAGACAAAAATTCTTTAGAAATAACTACACACGGACTTTGAATATAAAATTAGGGGATCAAAAATGCTTGAATATGCTCTTGATAATATTTTACGCACAAGGGCACTGAAATATGCAAAATATGCAAACATTAATTGGGTTATTTGAACTCTATTAAAGTTGATCAGCCCAGATCCAAAAGCACACACATGGCATATTATTAATTTAAAACATGCATTTGCATAAAATCACTGCGTTGATAATGTTATTACCAAAACAAGCAAAAAATACTTAATCCAAGACAGAGTGATAAAAAAATTTAAACACAAACAAGCATCTTTAATAAAATCTTATACCAAATATTATACCGGCACGTCACAGTTTACAGCTAGTATGCACCGAGGTATGCACTATACGAGTCACTGACGTAAAACGATGCGTCATTTTAATTCTGATGTATATTAGCGCATGCGCAAACTTATTTATTTCTTCCTTTTCCTTTTAATTCCCTACTAATACCTCATAATACCTTCAATTTCCTCGGTAATTCTCAAAATAGCTATTAATTCCTTTTAATACCTTTGAAATACCCTAATTCTCTCTTAATTCCCCCCAAATTGTACACTATTTCCTCCAGCGGTTTACCCCTCGGGGTCCTATAAATAAATAGAATAAATTTGAAATCGAAAAATGGCACATGAGTAAACATCTAAGGCATTATTGTTTATATTATGAAGATGAAAGCCAGGAAATTTAGTTGATGTACATTAACGTAAGTAACGCCAAAAGGTGCCGTACTCTCGCAAAAGCAATCATCTAGGGTAAAAAGAGTACGACGGAGAAAAACCTTGACATTTGATTAATACAGTCCAAAAGTTGGCTAAATAATTTGTCGAATTATTAAGTTTAAGCAGTGGTTAACACAGATAGTAAATGCATATACACAAAGTTGGTTACACTCAAGGTAAAAAACAAATATTGGGAACAATGGGTCAGGTAAGCAGGTACCTAAATTCTGAGAAAGGGTGATGGGCACAGGATGTGTTTGGTGCAATAAAGTTTTTTTTGTAAATAATGTGGAAATTAGCATATCGCATGTCATTTATCTCACATAGATTCAAAACCAAAGAGTTTTGATTAGCATAATCTCGTCCTCGACATATGTAACTCGCCGCTCGTTCGGGGTTTTGCGCCTACAGTTGAATTTCGAACACAATCACAGAATTAGGTGTCCTAACTCATTCGATTACAGTTTTTGCCACCCCCATATGACCGCTTCATTCACAGAGAGACTGTTATCTACAAACAACAAGTCAGTACACACACAAACAACTTGATAATTTCCACATATCAAAAGAAGGATCAAATTTATATGAATGTTACTTCTGGGACAAACATCAATAAATTAAAATTTACATCAAACATGATGTGCACAATAGCAATTAGGCATAACACAAAAGCATAATAAAATACGAACAAGAGAACACACAAAACAAAAGGTGAAAAACTCCAAACAAATGAATCAAAACTTGTTTGCATTAATGAAATTGCACACATTTTGGTATGTTACGACTCAAAATACCTGTAGGCAAAACACAAAACACAACTTGCTTCCGCGAAACACAAAATCAAGATTCTTCTTTTACGAATAAAAAGTTGAAATCAGGAATTTTTTGCCATTTTTTTCTTCACATATGCTTAACACATCTCTTTTCCTTTTCATCTCGTTTGAAAAATGCAGTTGTGAACCGCTTTCTGTTTGTCTAATAAAATAAACACTACAGGGTAGGGGTACTCGCGGTATATACAGGGTAGGATCCTCAGAAAGTATTTAAATACTAGGTACTTCTAAAAGTATTTGCACTTTCAAATACAAATACTATATTTAAATACTGTTCAGTACTATCACGGCTTCCTATAATTACCAGGCTAAATTGTATGAAATTTGACAACACTGTTTCGTTGGCCTATGATTTTATGTCAGTGTCAGTGGAAATTTTTGTAATGTGAGTCTAATGGTTTTAAAATTAATTTTAAATGTCTCCCAAATGTTGTGTGCCCAGTTGCAATAGCACTTATGCTAGTAACATGAAAGAAAATGGTTATGTGACTGTAATTAAGCTTCCGAAGGACCAGGAAAGCACAAGTTCAACTCGGACCGATTCCTTAGAAAGAAGACAGAAGATTGCAGAATAATCCAAAGAAAAAAAGGATATAAAAAGATTTTATAAAAGTCATCCAAGATGGAAAATGGGTGCAGAAACTAATAGTGTTTGTTTTATATTTTAAGTTTTGAAAAGTTGTGCAGAGTTTCATCAAGTGTAACAGTTGATGCAGAATTGAAGGTTTGGATAATGTTTGAACAATTATACCATGGACTATTATACGCTTACAGAGTCACAGTTGTCTTGGGTAATTCAAAACCAAAAGTTAAATCGGTGGTCTCAGAGAATATATTAGGTAACTAGGTACGTAGATTTTCACGATTTGCATCTACTTTCTCGCTAAAAGATTATGAAATTATGATAATAAGTGATATATCTCATTTTGTGAGTGATGCAAGAAATATACTTTTGGAAAATTTAGCTGAAACCAATCGATTTCTTGTTGGAACAATTAAAACTGGTATAACTACACTTAAACGTAAAAATTATTAGCAAACACAATTTTAAATGCATTTCTTTTGTATCAGCAGTCTTCATCGTACTATAATATTGTCAGAAATAATCTGTTAACTTTACCACTTTTGAAAATGTTATATTATAAATAAAAAATAAACAATATCCTACATTGGTTTCTTAATAATTCAGTAACATAACAGTGGAGATGGTAGGCCAACTGTTTGGTATTGATGCGGCGTTGCCAGCTCTTACAGCGGAGCCTGATAATTATAGGAAGCCGTGGTACTATGCGATCAAAAATGAGTTGCTGTCAAGTCACCTTTGGAATTTTTGTTTACATGGGGAAATCGTATTTCATTTGAACTTCCAAAGGCGACTCGACAGCAACTCATTTTTGATCGCCCATTATAATTAAATACCAAAAGTATTAAAAAACTCGAAATACTTCTCAGCTCTGCTTCACACCAGCATTCACTCTTCTCTCCCCACCCATGTCAACCTCCCTATCACAAACAAAGCACTTCTTACTTGTCTCTTCCATTTTCACTAAAATAAATCTATCAGAAAATAAAATAATGGTTCATCATAGTGGAACTCATCGGCTCACACAAACCGCTAATACCAATTAAATGCAATACTGTGCATTCAATCAAATTTTCTGCCTCTGAAATCTTGTTATACTATTTTTTTGTATAGGAAATTGAATGAGCTTTCATTTGGTAAACATAAGTGGATATTAAAAAGTTGATAGTTTTCGACATATTGAGGAAAAACCAAAAAAGGGACCTAACATTCAAAATGGCGGCCTGTTGCGCACCCCAGAATATGGGTTTTTTTGATATGTTCAAGAGGAAGGTCCAAAGAACATTTTGGCCAAATTTCAAAACGAAGTTTTTTTAATTTTTACTGATTTGGCGACTTTGGTTATACGATTTAAAAGGAGTTGCTGCCTTTGGAATTTTTGTTTACATGGGAAATCATATTTAACTTGAACTTCCAAAGGCGACTCGACGTCAATCCCTTTTTTATCGCCCGTTAGATTGACTGGACTACAGAGCATCCTCACCAATTGCTCAAACTACAATAAAAAAAACAATTATTTACTGTGAGCGCTACGCTCACCCCATGGATAATGAAGGATTAAACCCACAGAAATTAGAGACATGCTGTTGTGAGGTTTTTTGTGGGTAATGTAGTTTTCTACAATTTATCTTCTATACATTTTTCCTATTTATTTAAATTTAATTAAAAACCACTAGTCGAAGAGTGATAGACTGCACAAGTGCACACGAGTAATATACAAATGCTTATACGCAGATGGAGCTCATTTGAGTATTTTTTTTTAGCAAGAACCGTACAGGAGTTGATTACTTTGGCTGTTGTTACTTGTGCATGTTGAACATTTTTTAGTTTCTTTTGAAAACTCAAGTTTTGAGCGCGAACTTTGAATCTTGAAATCGCTATCAGGATCATTTTGCTCTGGATCAGATTGATTTTGTTGTTTTTCATTAATTACTGTATCATCGCTTTGGCAATTAATTCCTGGAGGTCCTGTTTTTAGCACATTTTTGAAAAAAATACGCTATTCGTTATGGATAGCTGGCTGTCCGGCTGAGATCTCAGCAATTACAATAGGTAAAGACTTCAAATTTTCACTAAAAGCTTTCTGCTATAGTGTAGATGTGCAGGTTCTAGACTAGTATATTTTGTGTTAAACTATTTGCTAATAAAATACTGATCTGTATTACCAAAAAAGCGCTGTCATCATGCATATGCTAATTTACAACTTGTTTCACTTATACGTGTAGCTTTCCGTTTCTGAGACGTATACAGACATTGGTAGTTTTTCAGCCTTTCATTTCTCACTTCCACCCATATAAAATAACAAGAGATTTCGTCCCCTTAGGTCGTCGTGCGAGTCTGAACAATAATTTTTCTATTCTACGTTCAATTTAAGACCCCATTTGACGTGAGGACGTGATAATTTCAGTTGATACACAATTAATTGCACTCTAGTAAACGGTAACGCATAAAAACTGGCTGCTACAATTAAAGCATAACTTATCAATTTTTCAAAATTCTGTTCTTTGAAATATGTTGCAACAGAGGGGTAAAATTTGATTATTTTAGCGATTTCACCCAACGGGCATGACGTTACAGTCGATTTCCCAAAGCAGTTAAACTGGACGGGATTAATCTCTGAAATGGAAATTGTACCGTGCACTCACGAAGGCGTTATTTGTAACGGTTGCGGTTTAACGCCAATCAAAGGTGTACGTTTTAAATGTAAAGTGTGCAATAACTTCGACTTCTGTGAGAACTGCTTTTATACGAAGAAGAATCACAGGCACTCCTTTAATAGAATTTTGGAGCCTGGTAAGCAAGTAAAGCGCAAAGGTAGTGAGTGATTGTTGCATTTCAGATGCACCTCACGTTTACGCGGGGAAGCCCGGACGATACTTTCGTAACGATTGCCTAGAAGCTCAAAGTTTAATTACGGAATGGAGCAGGTGTGTACGCAATATAACTGTTTCGTCACGTGAGCACACCGCACGCTTTGATATACCAGATGGTTTATGGCAAAGTTGCGGTACGCAAGGCAAGGTAATTGAAATTTGTTTGTTTTTGTAATCCGTTCACTCCACTTTGTAGCATTGGATTCGCTTGGATATGTATTCTGATGTTGTAATCAAGAGCTTGAAGCTGATTGTTGATCCTAGCGACAACAGTTACATGCCATCGGTTATCGTCGTTAGTGGTGGTAGTGCTGTAAGTTCTCTGTCTGAAATCACAGTTGTGAATGTGAAAGCTACAGACAGTACTGTAACATTATTGACTGATGTTGATCAGGTGAGCCGTGGTTGTATTTGCAATCAGTGATTTAGTTGAATTTCAGCATTATCCTCTAATTGAAATTGCAATTATAAAATGTCGAAATGGCGGTATCGACTGTAAAATTCACGGATTGTCAATTACCGGCATGAAAACGCAAAGCCACAATACACTGAAAGCTTCAGTCTCCTTCTTAGCAAATGATTGGGACTTGAATTATGAGCAAACCGGGGTTCCATACATCGGTAATGGTAGTTGCTTGTAAATTATTACTGATGTCCTACGTTTAAGCTCAAGAGGAACGTTCCGCCAAAGGTCTAGAATACACCAAATCGACGTCAACATGTCGCGTTTTTGTATGGGGCTTAAACGATAAGGATCAGCTCGGAGGAATGAAAGGTTCCAAAGTGAAGCTTCCCGTACAGTCTGATTTTTTAAGTCAACTACGACCAATTCATATCGCAGGGGGATCAAAATCTTTATTTATTGTGTCACAGGATGGGAAGGTAATCTTCGGGCATAGTTCCATGAGACTTAACAGTCCAAATTTCAGTTATACGCTTGTGGGGAAGGTACAAATGGAAGACTGGGTTTAGGACATAATAACAACGTGTGTTTCCCGAGACAAATTCCGTTTCTTAGTCAATATGTGATTAAAAAAGTCGCCGTGCATTCGGGAGGAAAACACGCGCTTGGTCTCACACTCGATGGAAAGGTTTGTAGAACTGTTAACGATGTACTTTAATGTGAGAGGTTAGGTATTTTCGTGGGGCGAAGGAGACGATGGAAAGTTGGGCCATGGAAATCGTTTAAATCTGGACAAACCCAAGATTATAGACGCTTTGAGAAGTAAGCGAGTGAGAGATATCGCTTGCGGCAGTAGTCATTCTGCGGCCCTAACGAGTAGTGGGGAGTTATATACGTGGGGACTTGGAGAATATGGTCGATTGGGCCATGGTGATAATATAACACAACTGAAACCGAAACAGGTGGGATTGACTTACAACTATAAAATATAGGAAGAAGGATAACTGTGATCAACATATTCAAAATTAACTTTTTTTAATCGAGTTGCTGGAAATTTTTTATACGCTACCTCTACCTGGCACGCTTTTACTATCTTATTTGGTCCCATACTTATCTCGTAAGGGGAGATCGGGGCAGATGAGGACATTGATTTTAGGGATACCACATCCATCTTAATAAAAACCTTCCAGGACCTCACACAAATGTAGTGACTGTACGTGTGCTCTCACACTCAAGGTTAAACAATACTAAAATACAAAATCATTTCTTCAAAGAAATCATTCTTAAGGGAGTACACCTCGGAGTACACTCTAAGAATAGAAAAATCTGGTACTAAGTGTGGGGTTTGGAACGATAAGCCAGCAAATACCAGAATTTTGTCTCTAATGCAGGACGGATCCAAAATCGTTTTTGGACAATTTCAAAAACAATTTTCTCCCACAAAGGGTTGGCTATCCTAAGTGGTTATACTAGGGTGACTGACTTCTCTCGAAAAATATAACACACCCAGGGATAATATTCAAAAAATTACAAAAAATCTTTTTTGAATCAATATTAAATTTTGTCAGTGTTATATTTTTTCATTAGGATAGGTATTAAATTTATAAGTTTTGTTTGTTCTGTCAAGGTTGAAGTGGTAGAACAGGATACGAAGATTTCTCTTTGTATATCTGAACTTCGCCTTGTGATTCTTCTGTCTTTTTTGACTTCAAATTTGTTTTTTCCATGTCATTACGTTTATAGGAGAAGAATAAAGATTATTATTATTATTATATTTTTGAAGAGAGATTTTAATATGCTTATCTTTTTAGATTAAGATATACAGGGTGTCCATTTTAAAAAAATGAGGTTAGGTCCAATAACCTTTTTTACCTGACCTCATACAGTTACAGTAGGCGCTCGACAGTCCAGCACACCCAGTAGTTGAACATTTAGCTCTTACGGTCAACAATGATGCCAAATGTGATTAGAATATGATTTGTAGAAAATGGGCCGCCCAGTCTGATAAAATTTTTCATATTAGCATTTTAGGCCAGTCAAATTAGGAAAAATAGCGGAAATAATTGAAAGAAAGGTGAAAATTGGTATAGAGGTACATTAGGGCTTGTATTCGAACATACTAAAAGTCGGGACCAAAACTCAAATGGCTCGAGCCGCCATCTTGGAAAAAAGGTGCTCCAAATCACTTTTTCGCTGATATCTCAGTAACCGTGCATTCTAGCAAGGAAAGTTTTATATGAAAAAAGAAAGATAATAAAATGTTGTATAAAAAAGATGGTACGCACTTTTTTTGTATTTTCGTTATTTACGTCGATATTCCACATTGAATATAGAGTATAATCTTTTTTTCGGATGTAGGTGCATTACTTTCAGCGCTCGCGTGCTTTAAACATATGTTTAAAAAATTGGCTGACGTTAAGGCCTGTTGACCACCTAAGAGAAGAAAATAATAATATACCTATTTATTTTTCTACTATATAGCCGAATACAAAAGATACCAACATAAGGAAACTAAGAAAAATAAATATTGGCAAAATCCGAAGTCGTTTGAACTACTTGTAATGGATATGGGGCTATTACAAAAAAAAATATAAATCAAACTTGACTTCATTTCATAAAAAAAATACTAAAAATAATAAACTAAACTAAACAATTCGCGAAATAGTACATAGCGCTGTTCCAGTAACCACACCTGAACTTTTTTCGTGAAAGCGGGATAGGTTATCTTTCTCATTTCGCGCGGTAGAATGGAATAAAGCCTTGGAGCAATGTACTGAACACATCGTTTACCGATTGTTTTTTCAGATCTTGGAAAAAGTATATGGTCTTCCTGGCATATATAATGAGAGTGCATGTTGGGCAGTCATTTTGGATGTTTTTATGAACTGGAGGATTTTGTTACAGTAAAGTTGGCGTAAATTCATTACATTTGATTCCTTATACAGGGTGGTGCCTAGCGCAACGCAGCACAGGGATGTGAAGGGCAATTTCTTTATAGTCAATTACTAGCTCCCCTAATTATTTTAGAGCAAAAGTCTAAAGAAGTTTTTTTAGAGAAAAAAATACTGTATCTGTTCATATGATTACTTACAATTTTCCGTTTTTCAAAACCGTAGAAATTAACAAAATAAAAAGGTTCATTTTTCAATAAAATAGATATGCCTTGGAATTACCTAAGGCGCTGGTTTCTCTGGCTCGCTAAACGCGACGGGCGACGGGTGGTGACGTCAAGACCCGCGGCCGAGGGCGGCTGCATGGTCTCTCTCACACAAGGGCATCGCCCATGTCAATATAATAATACTGAATGACGCGGACGGCGGGTGACATTCGGCGATTGGAATAAACGCTTCCCGCTACGGTTTAGAGAGCCCACATGCATGCGTTTCCCTATAAACAATTTGACAGTCGCCCGCGACGTGTGCGCGCCCGTCGTCAGTCGCGGGCGGCGTGTATTCTGAGAGACCAGCGCCTAAAAAATCAGCGATCACGTTTCATTATTTGCCTTTGACGTTTATTAAATTTATACTTGTTTATAAATTAGTTAATCATAAAATTGTTTATCATGTATTTAACTGATGAGAAATGTTAAAGTTAAAGTTGTTTTATGCTGGAAATAATGCCCGCCAAGTAACGTGTGTATTTAGTGTTAAGTAACCCAATTGGCCGATTCCAAGCAGTAGGTACAAGATTACAGAATTAAATATAAAAATCGTTGGACGTCAAACAACGATAACTTAGATGCGATGCGCTTGTAGTTTGTTAAAAGATTCCCAAGCATCACTGATTTATAAAAATGTAATTTTTTATTTTGCCGATTTCTACGATTTTGAAAAACGGAAAATTATAAGTATATAGTATAGTATGAACAGATGCAGTATTTTTTTCTCTAAAAAACTTCTTTAGACTTTTGCTCTAAAATAATTAGGGGAGCTAGTAATTGACTATACCTACAGAAATTACCATTGACATCCCTGTGCTGCGTCGTGCTAGGCACCACCCTGTATAAGGATTCACTAGCATAAAATACCCCCAGCCAACAATTCTATACATTAACAGTGATTGTATTAATGAGAAATACAAAACACACATCTGTTGAGTGAGTACGATATGTCGTAAGTGTTTAATTTTAGATAAAACTGCCCTTCTCTTCACTGGTCAACAGGCCCTAAAATGTCAACTAGATCAATTTTTTAAACATATTCATGTTTAAAGTACGCGAGCGCTGAAAGTAATGCACCTATATCTGAAAAAAGATTATGCTCTATATTCAATGTGGAATATCGACGTAAATATCAAAAATACAAAAAAGTGCATACCATCTTTTGTATACAAAATTTTATTATCTTTCTTTTTTTATATGAAACTACTTGCTAGAATGCACGATTATCGAGATATCAGCAAAAAAGTCATTTGGAGTACCTTTTTTCCAAGATGGCGGTTCAAGCTCTAGGAGTTTCGCCCCCGACTTTTAGTATGTTCGAATACAAGCCCTAATGTACCTCTATACCAATTTTCAGCTTTCTTTCAATTACTTCCGCTATTCGTGGAAATTTGATCTAATTTGACTGTACTATTTCTACATTTCACCAGACTAATGATGATCGTTGATGTATGGCGGCGGGCCTGCTATTTCTATATGTATATGTACTTTGTAGTTTATAAAAGATGAATGTGTGTCTATCTGTATGTCTTCCTTTCCATTCATCCAATTGAATTGAAACTTTGCAATGGTTGTATGTATGCCCACAAAGGTTTCTGATGTACTAAAACACTTCCTGAAATTCCCATGGGAACGGGAACTGAAAAAAACGGGGTTTTACGTTTTACAGTGGAAACTGCGGGAAATAGAGTTGACATTTAGAAGGCGTTTAGATATACTCAAAACACTTTCTGAAATGGTCACAGAAACGGGAAAAAATAGTATGAAATAACAATAGTTTTAATACCGAATATGGAATTATAATATAAAGGGTATCCCAAAATGCACACTAGAAGTAAATTTAGTACAAAACACAGGTTTTTACTTAATACATTTTTGTTGTCTGATCTGTAATTGCCTCTAGAGAAGACGGCGGAAAAAAAGTACTCTTTTACTGTAGGAAAATATGATAGAATTTATTTCTCACACATACTATCTTATTTGGTCCCATAGTTACCTCGTATGTCAGTCCAATATTCAGTGAGTACCAAGAGATGTGTTATACTTAAAAAAAGCACTTAAATGTATCTTTTGAAATACAAAGCATAATATTACAGTTGACCACCTTCCTATATTTAAATTCAAAGCTTCTAACTAAATATTGATATTGCCGATTGAAGGTTAAAGCACTTATTGGTCATCGTATTATACAAGTGGCGTGTGGTAGCCGCGATGCCCAAACACTAGCGCTTTCGGATGAAGGTTTGGTTTTCTCATGGGGTGATGGCGATTTTGGCAAATTAGGGCGCGGAGGTTCTGAAGGATGCAGCATTCCGCATAACATTGAGCGATTAAATTCGTTGGGTGTAATTCAAGTTGAGTGTGGTGCTCAATTTTCACTTGCACTTACTAAACACGGCGAAGTAAGAATGAAGGTACTTGCCTGGCTTAATGTTACTGCGTTGATATTTATAGGTTTGGACATGGGGAAAGGGTGACTATTTTAGATTGGGTCACGGGTCTGATCAACATATTCGTAAGCCGACAATGATTGAAAGTTTACGCGATAAAAAAATCGAACAAATCGCTGTCGGCGCTCTTCATTGTTTGGGTGTCACCGATACTGGACAGGTATTCCTTTGATTCTGTCGCGTTAATTTATTAATGTTGTTCAGGTGTATGCGTGGGGTGATAATGATCACGGGCAACAAGGTAACGGGACAACAATAGTGAACCGTAAGCCCGCACTAGTACATGGTTTGGAGGATGTCTTTATAAATCGGGTTGCATGCGGAAGTTCACACTCAGTGGCTTGGGTGCTCCAAAATGCGCCGGTTGTTTCTAAGCACGAGCCCGTTATTTTTCCTGTGGCCAAAGATCCACTTGGGTCTTCCATTCTAGGCCTATATGATAATGAAAAGCCATCAAAGGAGGATTCCAACATAAAAGATGGACCATCTCTAAGCAACATTGTCATGTCACTGGATAGCAGTACATCAAAACAACAGGCATTACAACACATCTTGAATGCAATGCATATCCAACAACTGCGACAAAGCATCATAAGAGCCCTGTGTAGCCACACCAACTTCACACTCACAACTGCAAACAAAGTGAGTGCATGTTCGGATACTTTGTGAATATCATTGACTTGTAGGCAAGTACTGGAAGTTCAGACACACCGCCCGACAGTATTATGAACTCTTCCAATACGACATATGTACCTCGACCAAAGGATGTGGAATTGATTTGCGGTGCAGGTGAAGCCCCAGTGTCGCTTGCCGATATAGGTGATATTAATGTATGTATAAATGCGCACATCACATGCATCTAACAATGAAGTTTAGAGTCACCAAACAACTCCGGAAAGTGATGAAAACCCGTTAGCATTGCTACAGTCGATGACTGCTAGTAGTTGTTCCGCTAGTCTGTCTTCTAAGCAATCCAGAATGTCCACCAGCGCCATGTCGGTAATTGCCGCCACTCTTACTTCACATACAGAGGTATAAAATGCAATTTATTCGTGATGAATAAATATTTCCTTTTAGGTTGTTGGGGATGGAGCCATAGGAGGTTTGGACGAGTTTACTTCGTTACTTACTGAAAGCGACGCTCGCCTTCTTGTCGATCTGCTGAAACTTGCAGTTGCAAATCGCATTGAGGATTCGGAAGCGAAACAAATTATATCCTCAGTTCTAATAAGTATGAATTTTTTAAAAAGGAGTACGTTTCAAGCAACATTTTTTAGCAATGGGCTGTGCAACTCCTAGCATTGGATCAATGCTGCTAGAAATTTGCGTGACCGAACTAGAAGACACCGCCAATAACACTCACACTTTATCATTGATTCCCCATCCGGTCGTGCAGGAGTCAAGTCATCCCTACGTTGACGATGTTACACTTAGAGGTCCAAAAGTGTGCGAATTTTTCAAGCGATTGCAATCTTTTATTTTAGGCCATGTCCGTTTACCCGGCGCCGACGCTTTGAGAGTCGAGTTCGACCAAAGGTGTTCGACTGAAAGAAGACACGATCCGCTTCAAATTACAGATAGTACTGGAAGGGTGGTTGCAACGCGTTCAGGTCGGGACTGGGCGGATTGGTCTTCCGAACTACGTCTTCCTGGTAACTTTTATGTTTTATGTATTCTGGTTTGAAACTTAGCTTCCACATCAAAGTTTCAGACTTGGCTTGTATGTTTCTGGTCGTGCTAAATGTAGTGCTTAAACGGCCAGATTCATACTTAAGTAGGTATCAGTTTCATGGCGTCTAACAAAGTTTACCGTCAGTCAAGTTCCACGCCTCAGTTGCACTATCAATTTAATGTCACTGATCATGCGTTGGCTGTATAATATTCAAATTGTTTTAGGGCCAGTTTTATAAAAGTCGGTTGTGGTTGGGCTGAGGTTCAACGCGATTTTTGTGCTTTATAAACGTCGCGCGAGCTTCCAACTATGGGTGGACCTACAGTGACTTTATAGAGACAGTGGCGACAACAGGGTATCTCGTTTTTGATTGGTCGTTGGTTCCGGTCGCCATATTGGAGCTAAATTCCAAACTGGCCAATAGGAAGCCTCTAAAACGACGCGGTACACTCCGTGCTAGAATTATTAATTATACTTAAAGCCACTAGATATAGAAAGTACCGCAATCATCCGCCATTTTTGGGCAAATTTGCTGCCAACAAAAATTGACAAATAAAATCTGAATAGCTGTCATTTTTTATAACCTAACTTCATAGTACTGTCATGTTTTATAAAACTATATACAGATATCTCCAAACATATTTATTTATATCGGGTGATCAAAAATGAGTGACTATCAAGTTGCCTTTGGAAGTTCAAGTTAAGTACGATTTCCCATGTAAACAAAAATTCCAAAGGTGACTCGACGGTCACTCATTTTTGATCGCTATGTATATTTAGTGACTTTAATTATACTGTTTTGACAGTGTCACCTGTGATTGTCACGGCTTCACGTTACTAGTTGACACTTTGGTTTTTGTATGACTTTCACTTACAAATGGAAAAGTATCAAATTTGACAGAAATAATGGTAAAGCGAAAGTGGGCGGTCATTATTAATCAATTTTACGTTTTCCGTCTCTCTCTCTCTCTAATGAGTTTAGATAGAAAACTGGTTAGAGAAGCAGCTTATCCGAAACTTGGCAGCCAATTCAATTATGGTTATGGATAACGCAATTGTGATCATAAATACGCTTGAATTGGTGTAATGTTTAACATTGATGATTGCTGAAGCACAAGAAATATTGATCTCTTGTACTCTGTGGCCTAGATCAATGTGTTTTGTCTTCCATTTAAGGAAATAAAGTAATACTTTTTATCCCGGAAGGAGAAACACGCGAAAAGGGACAAGAAGTGACAGAACACACTGAAATGTCAAACATAATTTAATGATTAATGATTACCTTTATACAAAGCCTTTATTTTATATGTACATTTTGGATATTGCACCATATTTTATACTTAGGTATTATACCATTATCCATATATCTTTTTGAATTTGAGAAGCATCAGTGGTTTCCCCGTAGGTTGTTCTGCAAAGTTTTAAACGATTGTTTCTGAACCAGAATCTTTAAATTATTCTACAGTTACAACTTGACATGACAAGGTATATTGATCCTACAATCAAACAAATTTTTAGCTCCAATATGACGGATTATGATAAGTTGTGGCCACTGTCCTTATAAAGTCACTGTAGGTGGACCAGTTTTCGCGTCGACCCGAGGTTGGCGAGCGGTTGAAATCTCCCACCCGTGGTTGTGCCTCAACTGGTGCGTCGTGTTTCGGTTTTATAGGTTAGAGTTCGATCACAGAGTGTTGGCAAGTGTTCAGTGCCGTAAACTATTATTATTATTATTCAACCCAGGGGAGGACGATTTTTGAGAGACGACAGCAACTCGTCAGAAGACGGGGACGCAAGGGAAAGAGTGCTTAGAAATTTTCGCTCGCGCGTGAATCATTACAACCGGTGGGATGATGACGAGTGTCGCCAATTTCTGAGGCAGTACTGCCACTAGTAGGAAACAAATCTCAACTATGGGTCGGCCAACCACTCTAAAAGTGTTTATAAAACGTAAGAGAACTCAACCACGGGTTCAAATTCCACCCGAGGTTGGCCAACCACGGGTTCAACCAGATTTTCATAAAACCGACCCATAGTGTTGGTTAGAAATACAAGGTGCTAAGGCCATCTCTAATAATTTTTCTTGCTTAGGGGATTATTACCTCAGGTGCAATTTTTTAATTTGCAAGGTTTTCTTTTCTCTTAGACCATAAAAGTAATTGCATAACCTTGGTGGGAGATTCCAATTTTGTCCGAATTTTTAATTTTTTAAAATGCACTGTGACCTATATTATTAACATAATAATATTATGTGCATAATTAGGAGACGAGTTGCACTGGTCGTTTACTAGTGACAGTTCGGTGAACGGATGGGGTTGGAAATTCACAGTCTATCCTGTGATGTCGAACCAAAGCCCAAAAGAATTGGGATCTGACCGCGCCGTACTCAGTCAGCCATCTATGGACATGGTTATTTGCCTCTTGGACTCCCAACTGTATACTTCGGCTGATAGTGCTTTAATGTCACGGTTGGCAGCTGCTCTTGCCACTTGTTCACAAATAAGCTTCCTAAGTATGTCACTAGTCCTTTTAATGGTTTAGTAACGAAAGAAATTTAGCATCATCGCAAAGAATGTGGTCTCTGCAACGGCTCCACTGGTTATTGACACCCGGACACGATAAAAAATCCGGAATAGGCTTTCATTTGCAGCAACTACGTGCGCCTGATGGTGCACTACGAAACTTACTCGAAGAATTACCACAAGCATTATTACGGCAGTATGAATATGAGGAGGTTTCAGTACGTGCAGGATTGCATCTCATGCATTCGGATTTTTTTAAGGTAACCTCTCAGTTAATTTGTTGGATCACTTTTTTTTCGATTTTTGAGGGTCACTCTGTTTATGATTGATTATCAATTTCGGGGGCACAGTCACCTGGCCGTGTCTTAACAGGTCTGTTTAATGAAAGGAAGGTGACCTTTGAAAGCATCATTAAAAGTGGTCCAGCTTACTCTACCACTTTTGCAAAACGATACCCTTAGGTGTTAATTGCATTGGCGTGTGACTTGGAGTTGGACAAAATAGTAGGCATTGTTGATAATCACAAGTGGTCCTGGTTTAGAAGGTACTGCCACGCTGCCAGGGTTGCCAAGGCGTTAATACATCGAAGTGCTTTACCTCAGAATTTTTGCCAGGAAGTTAGAAAAAAGCTAGCTGCTATTACGCCCGATGGTACCACCGAGGTATGGGAGCACGAAAAGCACGATCTGTTCAAACGGGAACAGGATGAGCAGCTGCTGGTTTGGCTGAACAGGTAGGTGTTTGTACCATTGACATTCTCTTAGAACGTTGCTTTAAAGACGCCCAGAAGATTGGACGCTGTCGTGGGGAGGCTCGGGAACTATATACGGTTGGGGTCATAACCATCGTGGTCAGTTGGGTGGTATTGAAGGGGGTAAAGTAAAAGTTCCCACGGTGTGTGAGGCTTTATCCAGCTTGCGACCCGTTCAAATTGTTGGCGGGGAGCAAACACTAACCGCTGTTACAGCAGATGGAAAAGTGTATGCAACCGGTAAGGTTTTAGCATGTCTGTTTCGACATTTATCGTTAACTGTTTAGGTTATGGAGCCGGTGGTCGTTTGGGAATTGGAGGAACTGATTCCGTATCAGTCCCTACTTTGGTTGAGCCGATACAGCACATTTTTATTAAGAAAGTTGCAGTGAATTCCGGTGGTAAACATTGTTTAGCATTGACCGCTGATAATGATGTTTATTCTTGGGGTGAAGGAGACGATGGCAAGTTAGGTCATGGCAGCAGAAAGTAATTCATTTTTTAATTGCCCAAATAATGGTTATGTGTTTTTTAGTGGATGTGAACGTCCGAAAGTTGTAGAGGCACTGCAAGGTTATGAAATTATTGATATTGCATGTGGTGGAGCTCATTCTGCAGCTATTACAAGCTCTGGACAGCTATTTACATGGGGTAAAGGACGGTATGGCAGATTAGGTCATGGCGATAGCGAAGATCAATTAAAACCCAAGCTTGTAAGTAAAGTAATAGACACTAGTGCTGTGCAAAAAAACGACTAATCGATAACTTATCGATTAATCGGCTACTGATAAATTAAAAAAATTTATCGATTAATCGATAAATTAGGCAATTAAAAGTAGTGCTTTCCACAGAAACGATTAATCGATAATTATTAATAATTATCGATTAATCAACTTTCGATTAATAGATAGTGGATTAATTTTTTAAAAAATGGTTAACTAATCGGTAATTTATCGAAAATTATTGAAAAATGTATCGATTAATTGTAATTTTATAATAATAATAATAATAATAATAATGTAAATACTCTATGATAGTGCTGCGACTATATCAGATTCATCAAGTAGTGTAGATAAAACGAACACTAAAGAAACAAAACAAAAACATGTACTACAAAAGAAAAAAAGTAGTAATAGTTACAGGTGCCATTCCGCACATAAAAATTCATCGACAGAATAAAAAGGGTGTAATTTAAGGTATTTACTTACCTCATTTTTTAATTTTAATTTAATTTAATTTTAAAGGATTGGTCGATAAATCGATAATCTACCGATTAATCTTACATCGATTTATCGCAAAAGCAAGTAAGAGCATTCGGGAATTGGCATGACACTTATAAAATATGATCACAATTCACAACCTACTTTAGGCTGGTTGATGTGAATTAGATACATACTATTATGCTTAATTACCGTTTCTGTTAAAAACTAATAATTTTGAGGTTATTGAAGGATGTACCAAATTTTTGAGGATTATTGTCTAGTTCTAGTTGATCACCTTTGATTTCAGAAAACTACGGAATACCTATACTTGTTTTAATATTTTCCAAAACATCCTGTTTTTATTTAAATTATCAATATCAATACCAAATAACCAAAATTGTTAACGAGTGTATCCATTGAGAATATATTTATATCAATAGGATTTATGAAAAAGTATCCATAGTTTTCTCTCGATGAATATCGCTATTCGATTAATCAATAACAATCAGAGATCGACAATTTTCGACAGATTTCAATAATCTATTATTATCGACAATTAACGATTTTTATTAAAAGTTAGCGATAATTATCAAAAGTTATCGATAAGTATAAAAAGTCATCGATCATTATCGAATAATCGTTAATCGATAATTATCGGACTAAACAGATTTATTGATAAATCGATAACAATTTCATTTATTCGCCCAGCACTAATAGACACTACTCTTTAGGAAACGCGAGTTCCAAAGAAACAAATACAACTGTCTACATCCCTATGAATAATTAAGTTACAAACTCTAAAATCGTCTGCACAGATGGCGTTTAAAGTACAACGTAGGCTACCTCCACCTCAAACTTATTACAGTTAAATCGGTTGGTGCTGCAAATGATTTATGCACCAATTTCAATCAGTAGATTCCTGAAGTACACATAAAGGCTCCCCCAAACCAATGCGAATTATTCGCAGCTGCAGCGATAGCGAACATTCCGCGACGACAGCGGCAGTGAAATTCGCCTAGTGCCTCACACTTTAGCGAATAAATCGTACAAAATGAACATTTACTTATTCATTAATTTTCACGTTTCTTATTAAACCTTGAAGGCAAAACGAAATTGGCAGTAAAATTGTTTTCATCGCAATGAGTGTTTAAAATGTTTGCCTAAACTGCAAGGCAGTGGCGTAACAACTTTCATATAGAAATATGTTGTAGACAGTCGATATTTACCGAGTTATATAGTATATTCCAAACATAAGGGACACCCTGTATATATTTAAAATATAATATATAAAAATATATATTTAAAAGGAGTATGTACTTTAAACGCGAAGTGAAGGTATGGGGTACCTGTACATATCTACCTTGATGAGAGCGAAAAGAGACATGCTATTGAATATGAGCCGGATCAAAAGTCTGGTTTCCGAATACGAGCCAAGTGGCAAATAATTTCCCTACTAAAAATCGTATACGATCCTTCGTATCTTGTTCGTGAGCTAACGTCACGTCATGTGAAACTAACAAAACTTTAATATTATAATATTTGCAGCTGAAGAATAGCTGTTTTGAACTAACCCGAGCTTGATTAAATCGGCTTAGCCGTTTGGAAGATACAGGGTGTTTTTTACGGAAACCTTTGAATACCCCCCACCACTTCATTTTTAGAGATACAGCAAAAATTGTCAAACAAACAAGGTTCAGATTATCGTCGACTTCAAAGACCGGGCATTTTTTTGTTAGGTTAATATAGCGGAATTCAGACGAAACATCACTTTTTTAGATTGCAGTTACGCCCCCTAGCGGCCATTTCAGGAACTTAAAAATATCTTCCAGGTTTTTCTCGTGGCCGTTTTAGTAATAACTTTTTTACCGCAAGCCTCTACGATGGACAGGTTCCCAGATACAGTACCTGGCATTCTTATTTGGCCACCCTGTACAGTTTTATAGATAAAATGAGGTTGTACAAAAGACTTACTCATGAGTAAAAATTTAGAAGAAAGAAAAATATCAAATAAGAATGTCCCAACTAAATAGACACAATTACCGATTGTACAAGTTTGTATCGGAGAAAATGTGCGAAATGGAAAACACATGTAACTTTAAAATGAACGTTAAATGAATTTATTTATTTATCTAAACAATAGTTAACAAAATACTTTCATGATAATTAACAGGACTTTTGCATGTATATAATCTGCGTATAAGTATAATTTTCTGATTACTAAATTTTAAACCGGAATAGTTTACTGTAAGTTTTTCGGTAGTTAACTAACATCCATTTCCGATTTTAGGCGCCACGATTATGTTGCATACAGAACACATTTTCTAAAATGCACGTTAATAATTACCTCCTCGACAACCGATCCAAAAAATGCTAAGCAACCGCCCCTTTAAAAGCCCTTAAGACGTCTTAACAATAGTTCAGTTCTTAAAAAGCTTAAGATCATGCAATGGATCATCATCAAGGTCAAAATACAAAAGTTTGTTTAATGTCCACTAGGCCGTAGTAATTTTAATTATACCGGGTAGATCATAAACGCGTGGCACACCAATATTGCATTTTTTTAATGGAACACCATGTATATTATTCGATATTTCAATTCTTCGTACCCAATGTACCTAAATGCAACTGTTTCCGAGTTAAAATAATTAAAAGTTGTTTAACATTTTATTTTCCTTAATAAGGCAGCATTCAGTTGTTTTTCATTTTTTAACAATTTCTATTAAAGCTTCCGTTTTTGACATTTTGTTTTGCTTGCGAAACAGAAATCGCGCGATATGAACGAAACAAAAATCTCGACGAAAAAATCGTTGCACAATCGCAGTTGCAACGGCAAACTGACGCGTATGTCTGAGCGTTTCCATAAGCCGCAATATAATTACAATGGAGCGAATTTTTGGCCGCGAAAAATTCGCTGCCACTGCGAATAATTCGCGTTGGTTTGAGGTAGCCTTAAAAGTGCCTGTTTCAAAATTTTTTTGCAAAAGTCACGATAATTGTCACAAGTTGACTTACGGCTTACGGTTTTTATCAGTGCTGTCAGACAGCAACTTGCGTGCGAAAACTTGCCAATCTATTCGCGCCTTTACAAAAGTGCAAAATACCTATAAGTGTGAAATTAAACATTTTAGATTGAAGCATTGCTGGGATATCGAGTTACAGACGTTGCGTGCGGTTCTGGAGATGCGCAAACGTTGTGTATCACAGACGACGATAATGTGTGGTCTTGGGGAGACGGTGACTACGGTAAATTAGGTCGTGGTGGTTCAGACGGTTGCAAAGTTCCCATGAAAATTGAAAGTCTAGCGGGCTTAGGAGTTATCAAGGTCGAGTGTGGTTCGCAATTTTCAGTTGCTTTAACTCGTTCCGGTAGTATTTACACTTGGTACGTATGCGTGGTTTCGCTGAACCCAATTTTATTGGACTCTCTTTGAAGGGGAAAGGGTGATTATCATAGACTCGGACATGGAACCGATGATCACGTGAGAAGACCTAAGAAGGTGGCTGCCTTGCAAGGCAAGCGAATAATTAGTATCGCAACAGGGTCTTTGCATTGTGTGGCTTGCTCGGATGAAGGAGAAGTATTCACTTGGGGTGACAATGATGAAGGACAACTGGGAGATGGCACTACAAATGCAATTCAGCGTCCTCGTTTGGTTACGGTCTTGCAAGGAAAGAAAATAACCAATGTTGCCTGTGGTTCCGCACACACTTTAGCTTGGTCGATAAACAACGCGAACTCGTGCTCTCATCTGCCCGCGCAAGCGCCACTTGAGTATGACTTACTGCGCGACGTATCCATGCTTGTACTACATCGACGATTGATTTTGCTTCATCACTTTGCCGAATTAATATGTCCGTGCATTGCCATGTTTCCAATTACGGGCGCCGGATCTCTTTCAGAATTACGCAACATACTTGTCTATTCCATCAAAGAAGCCACATTCCGAAAGGTCATCCAATCAACAATGGTTCGTGATAAACAGCATGGACCCGTTATTGAATTAAACAGAATACAAGTCAAACGGGCTCGAAAAGGAGGCGGTTTGGCCGGCATCGATGGGATGAAGTCTGTATTTGGACAGATGGTTTCAAAATTACCATTGCTTACCTCGGAAGCACTGGCCTTACCTCATCGTGTGTGGAAAGTTAAATTTATCGGTACAAATCCTTGCACTATTATTGCATTATTTTAAATGCTGTTTGTAGGTGAAAGTGTGGATGACTGTGGCGGGGGTTACAGTGAAAGTATTGCCGAAATGTGTGACGAACTACAAAATGGTTCACTTCCGTTATTAATTCCCACACCAAACGGTCGAGACGAGGCGGGCACTAATCGTGACTGCTTTTTACTAAATCCCACTGCTAAAACATGTCTGCACCTGAACATGTTTCGATTTCTAGGTAATTAATAGCTCAATATCAACATTTTACTAACATTTCTCTGCAGGAGTGTTAATGGGTATTGCCATTCGGACCGGATCACCATTAAGCATCAACTTGGCAGAACCGATGTGGAAACTTTTAGCAGGAATGGAATTGACCCCCGGCGATTTAACCGAAATGGATAGAGATTATGTGCCGGGATTGTTATGCATTCGTGACATGACATCGGACGAACGTCTTTTTCAAAATTTGGAAATGCCATTCTCTACACCCTCTTCGTGCGGTACAGACGTTCCTCTTAGTTCTAAGTACAAGAGGATCACTCACGAAAATCGATTGGAATATGTCCGTCTCGCTTTGAATTTCAGGTACATTTAATGTTAAATTTAATAGGTTTTCTAACTACTTAACGTTTCAGATTGCACGAATTTGACGAACAGGTAAAAGCGGTACGTGACGGTTTATCTCGTGTCATTCCTGTTCCACTATTGTCATTGTTTAATGCCTATGAATTAGAAACGATGGTGTGTGGTTCACCCGACATACCACTTGCTTTATTAAAGTCAGTTGCCACATATAAAGGTAATGCTCGGGCAATATTTTAAAATCGTTGCTAAACTACCAATTTTAGGCGTAGATAGTAGCGCCCCCTTAGTGCAATGGTTTTGGGAAGTTATGGAAGAATTTTCTAACCAAGAAAGATCTTTATTTCTAAGATTCGTCTGGGGACGTACTCGTTTACCGCGCACTATTGCCGATTTTAGGGGCCGCGATTTTGTTATTCAAGTATTGGATAAGTATAGCCCGCCCGATCATTTCCTACCCGAAAGCTACACTTGCTTTTTTCTGTTAAAGATGCCTAGATATTCTTGCAAAGTTAGTAAAAGAGGGAAGTTTTAGTGTAGTAAATATCGTTTTTTAGATTGTACTGCAAGAAAAATTGAAATATGCCATCCATTTTTGCAAATCGATCGATACCGATGAGTACGCAAGAGTGGCAATGGCCGGTGATATTGCTGTTAGTTCAAGCTCTGATGCTGAAAGTGATCCGGAAATGGATAGCATTGCTAGTCACGAACCGTTATAATTTGCCGTCCAGATTATCTTCTCATTTATTTATTTTTATATAATGTACATATTTATGTTATGCCAATTTATTTCAGTGCAACTTCAAGTCAATTTTGATAGTAAATTCATATTTAACAAAATATTCTTTTTTTTTAAATTTCGTATCTGTTATACTTATAAAGCTTTTGGAATATAATAAAATGTCGATCTCAATTAATGTTGTCTTAGTATATATTACATAGAACATCTCGGTCAATTATGGCTCTTGTATCTTTTGGCAAGTGTCCTAATGAATCATTATCAACTGCGCGAAAAGACACCTCTACAATATGGGATCAGCTTTGAAGAAGACTCATTTTTCCAAGACGAATAAAAACTCATTTGCATATATAGGTATAGTAGGCCACTGTGATATAAAAAGTGAACGCCTAGCACGGGTTCTTTAGGGGAATAAAGAAGCCTTCGGGAATGCTACAAAGATACTGTTTCCCTGGAGGAATCTAGATTTCTTCAAACAGATTGACATCCTAAGGGAGTGATACTAAAACTACCTACAATAGACTTTAAGTCTTCGCTTCGGTACAAGACCGATGTGTGTATAATCAATGCAGATAAGAAACAGTTCTCTGAGAATTGCAATAGTGTATGCCGCATCCTGTATTTATAAGTAGGGTTGCCAACTACATAATCTGCCAGTGATTTAAAAATATTGAAAAATTTAAAGGTCAAATGTCAAATGTCGATCGCTAGTGCAACCCAAATCACATTCACCGACCTTAGTTTGCGCTTCCTGATTTTACGTTAAAAAAAAAAATTCGAAGAAATTTCGGCTTAAATGTTTCCTAAATAAGTAATTATAGTTTTACGGTTCTAATTAACAGTACGTTAAGCAGCCAAAATGTGGGGTTCTGTAAACATGAGTACCTAAAGTCTTCTGTTTACTGTTTTTGAGAGACTGAACTGTTCTACATAAAACACGGCGATATGGCAGAAAATAATTGCGAACTCAATCAAGACGACATTATCATTAACGATCAAGATGGTCTCCCGAATGTACATCCAAATTTGCTTGCAGAGGCCACAGTTGATAGTCCAGATCGTACCACCGACGACGAATTTGAGGATCTACCAACGTCATTAATCGTCACTAACATTCACGATGATGTCTTCATAAACCCCGGTAATTATTACGTTTAATATAATCAGATAATTAAATTTTGAGTTGTAGATCGCAAAACAGAACTAGAGGAATTATTTCGTATGTACGATTCTGAAGTTACATTTCAATGGTTGCGCAGTTTTAAGCGTTTACGTGTAAACTTTCAAACCCCATTGGCAGCAGCGAGCGCTCGCATACAATTGCATCAATACCCAATCAAAGAATCTGTAATTACTTGTTACTTTGCTCAACCGGTTACGCCAGTCAAGAACAGCAGCTTGCAACCGCCCGCACCCTTTAAACAGTTCCTCATTTCGCCGCCCTCATCTCCGCCACTCGACTGGGAACCTCGTCCCGAAGGTGAGCCCATAATTAATCATGATCTTTTAGCCGCACTGGCAACCTTAACCCCCGGTTCATCTCATGAAGTACATCCGCCGAGCCCCGGACAACCGGGTATCGTTGTCCACACCGCTCTCGGTGCTGTCGCCGAATCTGACGCGAAGCCAAAAATTATTCAAACTAGTTGCCCGCAACGGAGTTAACTTTTCTGTGTTTCACTTATTCTCATTGTGAGCAGTAACGTAACACTTAAAGATTCATTTTAGTGTATGTAACATCTGGCATAGTTTATTGTGAAATTGACATTGTTACTGCGTTATTCTTGTTAAGTGAAGTAAATTGTTGTGATATTACGAATTAAGAATCAACATAAGTAGAGGTTATAGACTCATCAATTGTTAGTACTCATTTTTGACTCCATTGACTTGGCCACCCTTTCTTTTTTTACAAAAGTTTTGTGGTAGTTATATGTCGATTGTGCCATCAAAAAATTATTTTGTTACTATTCACGAGGAAAAAAAGTGAAGATGCCAAGTAACACTATCTCACAGTATGTGCTTTTCCATTTTTTTCTTGACTTGGTGTTTGTTATGTGGTTTATCTCAATTATGGTTTAAGAGATAATTTTGATAGGGTGGCACTTCCGGTTAGATCAGAAATTGATTTTAAATGGCATGTCTCTTTTTTTAAATTTTTTTCATTCTTAATTAGAAATATAAAATTAGTGGTTTTTGCGAATAAAAATGTTTAATCAGAAATAATGAGAGTTCATACTGTTTGAATGGAAAACTTTCACGCATATTTTTCCATAATTAAATTCCACCTCGTGTTGTTAGAAAATGGGCTAATTACAAAAACAACGAAAACTAATTTTTTTAATATAATGCCTATTTTTCATTACAGCAGTTGAAAGCCCGACCAACTTCACATTGTGCCAGTATAAAAAATTATTAGTTGTCTTTCAGGTAAAATATTTCCCGAATTCGAAAATAGTTTTTTTTATCTATGTCACAAAACTTTCCTAGAAAAAGCAATTGGAAAAACGGACTGTTAATTTTATAAATGGTGACAGCACAAAACTTTTATAGAAGAAAGAATGTGGGATAGCATAAGTTAATGGAGCCCTCATTCTTATTTATTTAGGGCCCTTTATATAAAATTGCATAACCTACAGTTTAATGCATTCAAATTCAGATTTATTTTAAAATTCATTTCAAACAAAAGATACAGTTGGACCTTAGAATTCTATACCTATACTACATTTATCTAATCCATGGTGAATAAACATTTAATTTAACAGATTTTTTACTTATGCTACGTTTGTATTAGCGTGCTATCGTCTTCGGTTCTGGCCCAAATAGGAGGTAGTGTGGCAAAAGTTAAGAATCCAGTATGCCCAGGTTGAGTAAGAGGCGGTACAGCTGTAACAGTTCTAACCACCTCTTTTTCATTCTTCTCTTGCGAATCTTCACTTTTTTTCACTCTAACAAAGTCTAAATTTAAAATGGGAATCGATCTGGTTTGAATTGAATATTGCGTTTGCACCACTTCCATAGTTTGTATTTCGTGAAATCCTAATGTTGATAGTGATATACATGTTTTCTGTACCTGCTCGATACAAGGAGAGAACGAGCAGATTCTGCCTCCTGTTTGTTTTATCGCTAATTTTGAATGTGGTACTGCCAACCAAGGATGAGGAAGATCTAAAAAGACGGCATCCGCTTTGTGCAGAAGTTCAGATCCGAAACCCTCACTGCACACATCTCTTTTTTGCACAGTGACCCACTGACTTAAACCGTGCTCTTTAAATTCTTCTTCTGCAGTTTGCACACGCAGTTCGTGAAAATCAAAGGTAAATACATGACCATGTGGCTTCACAGATCGTACGAGAGCATGCGATAACGATCCACTCCCGGTACCACTTTCAATAACAATACTGCCAGGGGCCAACTCCAACTGCAAGATTATCATACTAATATCTGGTGTGTAAATAATTTGAGTACGATGAGGTAAAGTTAACGTCCATAACTCCGGCGTTGGCTGCAGCACGTATCCCCATCCTTTACTTAATTTTATTTTCGCACCATACTCTACCCCTATTAAGTCTGCACATTTTAAGGCACCATACTGTGTTTGAAAAATATTTTCAATAAGAACACCCTTCTTGCTGACAGTTTTGGCCTCCGCTTTTACGCTATAAATTTGATGAATAGTAAGATACAGAATAACGGTATCCCCTTCGTTAATTTTACTTTTAATACCATCAAAGCTCATTGTAGGGAGCACTTGCTTTATTGTTGAGGTTAAGTATGTAATAGTTCAAACTTCAAACTAGTAGACCAAATAGCTGTAGTAGTTCAAACTGTTTACAATTTAAAAATAGGTTAGAAACAAATAAATTTTTAAAAATAATGGTGACTCACTGAAAATATGGATGAGAACAACATTAAAGCAAATTTGAAAGCTGCCAATGAATACCTACAACTTTTAACTAACTTACAGGTCGAAATAGGGAACGCGGAGCAGCAAATAAATACGACAGCCAAAGAAACCGAATCCGAAATTACTACTGTATTTTCCCATTTAGTAACTGAAATAACTAATAGTTTAATAAACCGTCGAGATGAATTGATCAACAACGCGCAAGAAGTACAAAGAAAAGGTGTTCTCCCGCTACGACAATGTCAAACAATTATTAACAACAAAATAGCAAATACGAAATCTTTCATTAATGAAGGCAATGATCTATTAAAATCGGCGAATAAAAAAGGTTTGGTGGAGTTTAATAGAAAGTCCACTCTTTTAGGTAGTTTACCCGAGGTCCCCCCTTTAAAAGAAGTTCCCTATATATCGTTTCATTATGATACCAATGAGGAAAGCAATTTAACTAACATTTGTCGTCAGTTTGGTGATGTCATACACATTTCACCAGTTCAGGTAAGCAATACAGTCGATGACTGCCAAGTTTGATGGTTTTACAGATAACATCCTTGTTGGAACGTCCCGGAGCAATTTTAGTTGAATGGGCTATCTCGGAAAATGAAGATCACTTCGTCGATGTTCAAGATTATCATTTGCAATGGGCATTTGGGACTGTAAATAATCTAGAAAGCAATTTTCATACATGTTACATAGGTAATTAAACGAACTTTTAATTTCCTCTAACATTAACCACCGTAGGTCCTAATCTACAGTACTTGGTGAAAGACTTAAACTTGAACCAGAATTATTCATTTAGGGTGCGTTGTAAATATGAGGGTGACACTCAGTGGAGTCCCTGGTCTCTGCCACAAGTCTGCCAAACTACCATTAAATCGTTTTCGTGGGTAGAAACTGATAATTTCACATTGACTAACGATAATAAGATTGCCTTATCTTTGCTTAACACAACTTCATTCGTATGTAGTCGAAGAATTGAATTTAATGTGGGGTACTCGATTGAATTTACGGTAAGGAATTGTTTATCAGATTAGCGGTAAGTTTGTGTAGTTTTTAGAATGTGATGTAAATCTGAATGATAATTACGTGGGCCTGACTAGTGAAAGTACATTAAAAGGTTCAATCACTAATTCATCTTCTGTTTGTGTAGAGGCAAATGGAAGTATTTTTGGTTCTGGTGTGAAGAAAATTACAAGATTTCCACCTGTAATAAAAGGCAGCAAGGTAAATTTAAAAGGATGAGATTCTTTACGACCGTTTATTTTTAGATTTGCTTCAGTTGTGTTTATAGAGATGATAATAAGTTACGGATAAATATCGATTGTAACGAAAATCGTGTAACGTACGATTGGACTGTTGATCATCGTAATATATACATTGTCGCACAATTTAATTCTCCAAATTGGAAAATAATGATTGATTAATTTTGTTACGTTTACTTACAAATAAATACATGTTAACCTACAATGCTACTGGCACCACGTAAAGCTAAGTATCCTGCAGTTATATCCATTGGTAAACCTATTAGCGTACCATACTCTTCTTTATTGGCAAATCTAAGCCTCGTTTGAGGATCAGTGTATGGCGCCGGCAATCCAGATAGGTCAGAAAATTTCTCCGCAGGCTTAAATGACGGTGGCGCATTAATTGAGCTATAATGAACGTAGTTTTCGGGCCATTGCAAAGATCGTTCCGTTGAAATTATTTGTTTTAAAGATTTCCAAGCCCGTTTTTTATTGTTAGACTTTGAGGTGTGCTGGAAAGTTGTCGCTTTGAAAACCGGACGGATTTCACTTTTAATAAACTCCGTCATGGTGCTTATTACATTTTACAGATTTATCGGAATTTCAGTACATTTAATTTAGGTTATGTGTCATATGTATGAGGTTAGGGAATTTACTATTTAATTCCGTTTGCATCTAGGGTCCCAAGGCCAGATTTATGTATACAGGGTATTTAAAATAATAATAATAATAATAGCCATTTATTGAGTTGATACAGATTGGTTAAAAATAAAATTAATATAGATTTACCCTTATACTTTTGTACAACCCAATGGGGCGAAGTTCAGACACGTAGAATAAACTACCGTCTGTTCTACCACTTAACCCCTTCTCATTAGATTTTATACATTATAGAACTGTAATGGCAACAGATAAGCAGTTCATACCAACTAAAGCAAAAAATTGGGTAAATTTGAATGAGAAAATCATGAAATCAAAACCAAACTAAGAGAAATAAAAAAATAAATAAATAAAAAAGAAAAATGATATGAAATGATTATGGTACGAAAGTGATACTAGGAGCTAACTAAATCATAACTGACTCAGATATAATATCTTTTTAAAACGATTATTAAACTGTTTTACTGTACAGTTTTTCAGTTCATACGCAAGGGAGTTATGCAATAGTATCACTTCTGGTCTTGACTCTGCCAAAAAGCATCACGTAACATTTGGACATGTTTATTAACAACCCATGTCTTTCTGATGTTTTAATTAGGCGATCTAAGTCTACGTTTATTATTCTATTGGCTTGATTTATATCATACCCACCAAATGTATAAACCAATTGGGTATCGTCAGCGTATAAGTGATACGCACAATTGCTTAGAGATTTGGTAATCTGGCTAGTGTAGATCACATAAAGCAATGGTCCCAAAATGGATCCCTGAGGCACGCCATTGATCAAGGATAGCGGTTTAGACACATTATCCTTAAAAAAATGACGCGTTGAGTACGATGTCTAATATAATTTTCAACCATACGTGTCGACATGGCATCAAAACCAATATACCTAAGAACAGCGATCAATAAGTCATGATTAAGTCTGTCAAAAGCTTTAGAGTAGTCTAGTAAAATCAATACTGCTAGATGATTTCGATCAATGGCGGACATAATTGAGTCAGTAACATGCAAGAGTGCTGTATTGCAGCTATAGCCTGATCTAAAACCCGATTGCATTTCTGGTAAAATTCCTTCCTTCTCAATATAGCTTCTAATTTGAGCTGACATAATTTTCTCTAATACTTTAGATATACATGGCAATATGCTAATCGGGCGTAAATCACCATACCCATTTGGCACTTTTACCTTTGGTAAAGGTATAACATTAGCCACCTTCCAGGGTAACGGGAATGATCCATCTAATAAACAAGAGTTAATTATGTGCAAAATGTAGGGTAATAAACGTGGCAGACACAATTTCCACATATGTAAACTAATGTTATCAGATCCCGTAGAATTAGATTTAATAGCGTTAAACGCGCTTACGACATCGGATGTTGTAGCTATCTGAAATAAAAATGGTTGCTTAAATGTATTAACCCTGTTAGCATTATAAAAGTTTAGTAATTCAGTATCGCAAACTCCTCTAACACCCGAAAGTGTCGTAAACGCTTGGTTAAGTTTATCTACATCACAAAGAGCTGTAGGGATTTCACATTTGTTTCTCGAAGCAACTACACCCATCTGCCTCAATTTCCTCCATGTGGTTGATGATGTAATACCGCCATTATGGCAAGCATAGAGAATATAGGCTTTTTTCTCGGATCGCACCGCATGGGTAACATAATTACGCAGCTGTTTATAATAGTCCCAGTGACTTGGTTTTTTAGTTTGCCTAAATCTGGTGAGAGCTTTGTTTCTTAAAGATATCATAAACTTGATATTGTCGGTTAGCCAGGGGGCTGGCGGTCTGGTGATCTTAACAGTTTTACGACTTGCATGCTTATCAAATGTAGCTAGTATCCTTAAATTTAAAAAGTTTACCTTTTCGTCAATATTAGTTAATGCAAACATTTGATGCCAGTCATGTGACATGAGATCACTTTCAAATGCGGCAATATCAAATCTACGAAAGTCTCTGTAAGTGTAATAAGTAGGACTATAACTGTTTAAGCAGATTGTAGGAAATTTACAGTATACTAAGTGATGGTCTGAAATACCATCCATACAAGTTGCACCGGATTCTAATACATCAATGTCATCGGAAGTTACCATATAATCAATAAGTGTGCTACAAGTTTTACCAATCCGCGTCGGCACATCTATGATTTGTTTATGACCAAACGTGTGTAACAAAGACATCATCTGAATCGAAAGAGCGTGATCAACTTTCAATAGATCGATGTTTAGGTCTCCCATGTAAAGAATACGACTACCGTACGTTATCGCAATGGATAGTGAATCCTCAAAAGCTTCAAAGAATTCAGCACCTGCAAATTCCTGCCTTCTGTACATTACTCCGAGGACTAAATTTGTTTTATTCAGTTTTAAGTTAATCCACAGTTGTTCTAAAATTTGATTATTAGGATCTATGGGCAGTACATCAAAATGTAAATCGGTTCTTATGTACATACCTACCCCGCCCCCGCGAGTGGTAGTAATTCGGTCAATACGTATGAAATTGTATCCCGGAATCTGAATTACGTCAGTATTTATTTGATCCGTCAGCCAGGTTTCAGTAACTCCTAGTACGTCATAACTGGCTGCCTGCAACATATCTTTGAATTCTGAAAAATGTGCCAATAAAGAACGAACATTCAAATGTGCAATATTTAAGTACGCAAACATGACAATAACCTAAAATTATTATTCCATAACAAAACAAAATTTAACATCGGTGATTGATAAACATACAATAATCGAATGATAACCATTTCTTGATATAAAGGTGAATATATGGTTGACTAAACATAACATATAAAAAAAAAACAGTTTCAGAAGCAAAACTAACTCATACTAAAGACCCCCGGACTTAATAAGATCAAGATCCTCAGTGGATTGAATACAGCGAATAGGGGATTCTTCATCTCTCCTAGCGAAAATGTTTCCATTTTTGGTCCACGTAAACTTAAATTTCATCTCCTTTTGAAGTTGACGTAATTTAAAAAGCAGCTTTCTACGGTGCGGAGTCAGATTTTCGTTCACTTATATGGTGCTACCGATGGTCGTTCCTATATCTGTTGTGGATAAATTCCTTTTGACTTTCCGTTTGGCTAAAAACTCTTCTTTGGTGTAACGATTTACAAACTTACAGATAATCGCTGCATGATTTTTCTCACTTGGGGTTCTTAAACGATGGCAAACATCAATTGATTGTTTTGTTATTGGAATTGCGAGCGCTGATGCAATTTTTTGCACAATTGCGTAACTATCCTCTCCTTTCATATACGGCACTCCATGTATTTCAATAGAGTTTCGGCGGGTATACTGTTCCAGATTATCTATTT